CTTTACATTTTGTTCTCAATTTAAACAGTCTTTTCCCTACCCATTCCTATTCTAATAATTCTTAGCAGAGGGTACTTTTATTTCAGTCAGAAGGAGATACCTTTAAATTATAAATATTCGGACTTGGCCGAAATTCAGCTTTGAATTGCGCATTTAAAAAACAGGTGAACACGGAACGCTTCTACGAAAATTATGCAAATATTTGGATACCAAAACGGATCAACGAGGCAACGCAAAAAAGGTGACAGCATTATCGATACGGCGTCGTTAGAAGTTTCCTTTTGTGAAATGTTTGTGTGTCATATGCAAACGAGGCCTGGCAAAAATAGAAGTCGAAAATTGATATTCGATAGCCGGAATACAAAAAAACAAAAAAATTGAGATGGCGAACCCGTGTGGAATGCTGTTGACAACTTGCGTGTTCGAAAACTATTAAACAAATCACTTTTGTCTTAGCCACAAGAGTCTCGAGTTACCATCACCCCCTCAAGAGTCATTAGCCCACTTGACCGCAACAATGAGAAATCACCTCAACTTCAGCCACAATGGCGGTGAAGTAATTTTATTATATGTATCTTAACACTTCAAATTATAAAAGCGAAACAAAAAAAATTGGGTACACTTGCCCTAGAGCATAATGATTTGAGGTAAAAATTCGCCAAAGCTCAACCTTCCAAGGTGTGTCAACAAAAAAATAATAATAATTGAGCAGACAGAGACATTGGGCCAGCAAAAATACAAGTCATAATAGACGTGGCTCAGACAATTGTCTTCCTCTGAGCGGAAGCACTTGGCAAGGTTGAGAGCTGATTTCATTCATCATAAAAAATAAAAGAAAAACAGCCACAAAAACACTCGAGTCTACATGAATTACTTGCAAATTGCAGGCACACAAAAAATCCAGACGTTTTTTGCATGCATAACGAGCATTTGACTTACTTTTTAGTCAAAACAAAACGAACGATGAATACGAGGGCTTCGATATTGGCAAGTCGATGGAGATTTGTTGCCAGCCTGGCAGCACGCATATGCTGGCAAACCAATTTACCCAAGTTTTCCCACAAAATATCAAAATTCAACAAGTGCCGGGCCATCGGGATAAGCCAAAAATGCATTTTGTATCTTGTAAAAACACACAAAAGAAAGAATCCGCCAGTGAGACAGAATTTTTTTTGGTAATGTGATACAATAAGACTTGGAACAGCCACTTGTAAATGCTCTTTATGAAGGAAAAATAAAGAAAAATAATCTTCATAAATATGTTTACAAATTACTAACATTTTTATGAGAGTTTGATTTTAAAGAAAGGAGAAAACATTACCATAAAAACCTCTTCCTTTTTAACTTAAATGGTATGTACCCCTCAAAAAATAAAGTTATGCGAAAAGAATATTATTTAAAATTAAACAAGAAATATCTTTTGAAACCCGTATCCTCGAGAAAGGGTATTTCCCAAAAAAAAAAGAATATTGAAGTACTGAAACTGCAACAGTTTATGACGCCAAACTGCATAAATCAAAAGGCTTTGGGTTCGGATTACCTACGAAAACTGCAGACCCAAGACGTTTTATCTCGGCTTCTTGGCGTCCCTTGATTTTTTCCAGCTTTATGACGACGAAACCGGCTGGCATAATAACAGAGAAGAGAACTTGGTCCCTGCACGACGGCGCAAATAACTTTGCAGCGTGACTGGGATAAAATGCCAAGCCACACACAGATCAAAAAAAAAAAAGAAAAGAAAACTGAGAAAAAAATCCGAACAAAATACCCAAAAAGCTGGCGAGGCATCTTCCACGAGGCTCCAGCAAAAGGCGGCGAAATTCAAACAAATCGCTCAAACAATGCCACAAAAATGAGAAACACAAAAAAAATTCAAAGAAAATGAGAAAACAATTTTTTTTTCGCTTGTGACACGACTTGAGCAACTTTGTAGTATAGAAATTGTAAGGGGGGGCATTAGAAAACCCCTCGCAGCTTTTTCGGCTGAGCAAAACCCGGCTCAGATTTCATTTAATTGATTACGACCAACGTGTGTGTATTAGAAACGCTCAATTGGGTGGGCCATGGGAACTGGCGATTTTAAACGCCTGAAAAAGCGCCACGAAACGCATCCGATTTCGAATCACAGTGGGTTGTAATAGTTCTCAAACATGAGATTGCAATAAAAAATATATAATGCTAATATTTTGTATATTAACTAAAGTATTCTAAAACTTTGTTGACAAAAATACATTTTTAGATACTTTCCAAAAATATTCTAAAACATTGACAAAAATTTCGAATTTAAAAAAAATTTTAATGCAATAAAAGAGGCAAAAAATTCTTGTAGAACTTATTTCTCATTTATCGGAAATGTACTTAAATTTATTTTTTAATTAAAAAATATATAATACACCTAAGATATTAAGAATTATAGTTTTCCACATTCCATTTTCTTTATGATTACCTTGTTTTTTTATAGCCACAAACTTTTCGCATTCACTATAATTGCATTCACCTAAAGCGTTTAAGCCATATTTTGTTGTGGTTCGCGAATCTGTTGTTTGTTTTTTGCGCTACTGTTTTGCCGCAACTTGGTGTTCATAACTTGGCTAATGAGTGCCGCTGAAACAAAGCGAAAAAAAACCCGGCAACAACAAAGTGCATTAAGAAACTTGTTATTGCCCTCGTCTATGAAGCTGCGACTGCGCACAAATTTGTAAGCATTAAGTCTGATGCCTGTTTTTTTTTTTTTTGTGTGGTGTCCGTCTATTTAAGTTTATTATTATGGCCTTTTTGCAGTGTCGGACATTTATTGGCGGTCTTGTACGGAGCTATGTTGTTTTTCGCTACCCAGTTTTATTTGTTTGTTTATGTGATTAGCCAAGTTCATGCGGTCTGGAGGTCACCGTTGCACGCGAGGCGTGGCCAAAAGCCAATAACCAACATTCAATGGCCAATGGCCTATGATGAATGGCGTTAAGCAAAGCCGTCTGAAAGTTGCATTTCCCAACCGATTTAAGCCTATTAGGAGCCGAGATCAATCGATCTTGGGCAACGTGCAGCAGCGGTATCTGCAGCTTTGGCTTTTAAAAAGATATTCAGCCACTTATGCCAGGCATCTCAGTCGAACACTTGCCGTATTTCAGCGACAAATTGCCAAATGGCCACAGCCAATTCCATTGATCTTTTGGCATCAAAGGTTTTTGCCGCCGCCGCACTTTGGTCAGAAAAATGGAAACTCCAGCTGCCGGACAATAAAAGTTTTCCCATTGTTCGAAGATCGATAGCTAAATGGGTTTTTTATTACGCCAACTTGATGGAGGCAAAAAAAAAAGGTTTTACCATATCCAATAATCCATCAAAATATGAATAGTCTATTGAACTTTTAATGGGCTAGAGTTATTGTTAACGAGCTATCGGTCAGTTCAAGCCTTTTAATATGATTTTGACATATTTTCTCTGTGTACTTAAGCATTTTTTAACAATTACGTAATTTAATAAGCAAACAAAGGAAAGATAATCTCATTAAAAAGTGGTATTATAAGGAAGAGTGTTGCACAACTTTTTTAATTTGAATAAAAACATAGAGGGTTATGTTTTCTTTATTGCAGTTTATGTTTAAACCTTCTATCTTAAATCTTTAAATCTTGGAATTCTTTAAACCTTCGCCATTTTTAAAGGTATCCAAACTATGAATTTAATATAAAATGCATTTACCAGAATATCTTTGTCAAGATCAGAAGCATTCTTTCAATAGCCTCATTGACTGGGAAAAACAATCGAGTCAGGATTTTACTAAGTAGATACTATATCTGCGATTGCCGCAGGCCATCATGGGCAACTTTAACCCATTGTGACCCACCGTTTTTATTTTTTTGCGGCATTGGCACGCGAGTTCACTAGCCAACATCTGCATTGCGTGCTGTTTGTCTTGGGCCCGATTATTGGTTTTTCCTGCTACTTAAGGCCAACATGCAATGGCCGAAAGCCATCTCTTGGCTTATTAAAACGCAATCAGCGCAGTCACAGGAAGCAGCCACCACAAAAAAACACACTCAGCTAACCAAAAAGAAAAAAGGAAAAAGAAAAAAAACACGAAAAAGAAACACACTTCTTGTTTGGCCAAGTCAACGCTGCTTTTGACCATAAATCGCAGTGGGGCCAAACCGCCTTCAAAACTATTCGAGGCATTTGTGTCAAACACGCGACCCAGTCTTCCACTGAAACAGCCAACTGCAAACTTCCAACTGCAACTGCAACTGCGTCTTTGTCCGCTCTCTACAGTCTGCGATCTACAGTCTACAGTCTGCAGTCTACAGTCTGCAATCTACAGCAATCTGCGGACTGCAGGCGTCTTCCCAGCGGAGGAGAGCCGGCAAACAATTGGCGACAGCCACTGCCACTGCCACTTTTGGCCAGCTTTCCTGGCTCTGGCCAAATCAGCCAAATGCACTAAATTGGCAACTGGCTTAGAAAGTCGATGGGGTGGTTGCTGCTGCTCCTTCTGCTGCTGCCGCGAATCGAAAGAAAGTCAAATGACAGCCAATACACGCAGCCAACAGAGGCTTTGAACTTATAAGTACATTTAATAAAAAAAATAATAGGAATTAGGGGAAGTTTTCTGGTTACCTATAGATACTTTAACTTGGTATCCAGGTAAAACCTTACTTTAGTTATACAAATTAACTTAGATTTGTATGCTAAAAAGCAAGATAATCAGTGAGTTACAAATAATATAAAAGATCTTTATCACAGTTGTTTTATTAATTCTGATGGATAAGGTATATCTCAAAGTTATATTGTTATACTAATATTTTATTAAACATTTATTTTGAATTCAAAATAATCTATATATGACTTTTCTATTATATATATTTTTTTTAAGGAATTCTACTATATATCTTTCAGTTTCATTTTGCATTTGATTCCTAGAGAACTACACTGTTTGTTCTACAGGTTTTTAAATTCTGGTAAGAAGATTTCGGGGGAAGTTTTCTCTATAATTTAGGCATACTTACATTATGGCTTATTTGCTGGAGATATTGTTCTGTTGTCGAAGCACAAATTGCTGATTGTTGCAGCTGCAATTGTTCATCCCTCGGCGCAGCAGCAGCGGTTTAATTAGCAGCTGCAGGGCGCATCCGCAGTTGTTGTTGCTGTTGCAGTTGCAGTTGCATTTGTTTTTTGTTGTTGCAACAGTTGCATCTTCTGCTGGCTCAGCATCATTAGCTGACTGATTGGCGAAACTTAGACCGCTCGTCACCTTCTGGCGAAAAACGAGACCTTTTTCCTAGGACTTTTCTTGTTGTTGTTGTTGTTGGAGTAGTTGTTGTTGTGCTGTTTTGATTACTGCGGATTGCACTTTTCAACGTGTTGTTGTCGTTAACTTGTCGTGGCTGTCGTTATTTTCTTTGTTATTTCTTTTTTACGCGAACGTTGCCAGTTGCATGTTAATTAAGTGCGCCTTGACTGCATTTTCCTTAGCCAATTGTTGTTGTTACTGCTGTTGTTGTTACTATTGCTGCAAGGGTTAACGTTAACCGATTATTGTTGCGGCTCTCGGTTTATGCTTCATTTATGCTGAACATGCCGCCTAATGGGCAACATTTGTTTAATGTCAGCCTGATGGGCAGTTCAAGTATCTATTAGATGAATTAAAGGCACGTTTCGTTGGCTCCTCATGACTTGGACATTTATGCAAAATCAAATGGGGAATACTTTGTCTGATGAATTATTAGTTGGCTCTGCTCACACACGGATGGGCATTCTTGGAATTACTGAAGCTCAAAAAAAGCAGCGGGTGGGCTCAAAATGGGAATTCAAATTACGAGGAAGAATTTGAGGAGAAGCTTTGAAACTACAAAAGAATTGCAAGTAAAGTATTCCAAAATTTTAAATTAGATTTCGCATTTACAAAAGATGTTCCGACATTTATTGAAAGCTTTTAAAATTCTTTATGGGATATCCCCAATCTGCTCTTAAAAATCCCCATAAAACACTTTAGTGGCAACACAAACTTTAATCTTTGGAGGCATTCCAAGGTTAGCACTAGTATACCATACGATCTGAAGTTATTCCCAAGCACCCACGCAAACTGACAGAACTCATAAACCAAATATCGCAACCGAGAATTTAGCGTGGGCCATGCAGCTGCGAAAAAAAGAAATACAAACTCCAACTGACCAAAAACCAAAAACCAAAAAACCGAATGCCTTTTGCCAGATTTTATGATTATCATATTGTAGGTGCGTGTGTATATTTCGCATTGCTGACTTTTGAGATCACTTTATGGGTTGTTGGTCTTATAAAGCACTTTGGCCACCCGACGTGGGTTGGATTTTTAGTGCGAAATTGTTTCGGTTTCTGTTTTTTTTTTTTAATGGCTCCGAGGTCCGCAAAGCAATAAGGGGCATCTCTCGACAATTTTTTTTTTGTATTTTAACGAGTCATTGCAGGTGCATTAAAACTGACAAACTGAATGACTGACTGAGTGACTGACTGAATGACTGACTGACGGGTTGACCGATGAAAGGCTTTAGAATTTCCGCCTCTGGTCAGGTTGTCTGTCTAATGCACTTTTAATGATTTTATACGATTAAAGTTATGCTCACTGCTGCGTTTTGTGTAACAACTTGTTTCGCCTTTGGCTCACGCACCTGTTTCACTATTAAATGCTCTTTTAAAGGCAAAACAAAAGCAACTGCCGCTCAATTACAAGCGACAAAACGTTTTTTTTAATGAACGGAAAAAAACACCCGAAGCCGGATAATTTGTCGCATTTTCCCACACACAAAACTGCAACGCGAAGTCGAAGAGGAAAATCCAATTTGGAATCGAATTCGGAGTCGGAGTGGCAATGCGCGACACGATGTTGCAAGCGACGCGTACGAACTGCAACTGCAACAGAAGTTGTGCAGCTGCCGGAAAAGTAATCCCGGCCAGATCTTTCACTCTCCGCCGCTCTCCGAATATATATGGGCGATATATAGTAGTAGTGCGGCTCTCCCGATCCCTCAGCTCAACTCAACTCTTTCCGTGTTGCCAAACAAAACGTTCTAACGCGATCTGCATTTGGGAATACGAAGTGAATTTAAATGAAGTCGCGTCGCCGGTGGTTCGACGTTGTTGTTCGCTGGCCGCGTTGCTCGCAACTGAGCGCCAGGTGCGAATCCGAATCCAGTCGGCGGCAGCGATGCCCAGGTAAACAAAACGACGCCGACAGAGCGCTCAGGTGGGCAGGCTTCAATGGGTTAACTGGCTCAAACGACCGGCGAGCGGGCAACTTGTTGCTGCAACATCGCCAAGCAGTCGCATGTTGCCAGCACTTCGATTGAAAATAATAATAGAATTTAATTTTAATTAAAACTGGAAGAACAATAAGCTCTCATTGGGTATGTTTTTGAACTTAAAATATAATATTAAACATGGTCAAAATATCGACCTTCGACTAAATTAAAAATTAATCACACGTTTGATAAAAAAACCATTACAAACGTTTAGTGGTATGTCACTTTGGAATCGGATCAAAATTGACAAAGTTATGGGTACAGGATATCCAATTTGAAGTCACAATAATGAGAATCATTGAAAAGCTGAAAAAATCTGACATGAAGAGGGTCAAAAAATCGAACATTTGAAAAATGGAAAACTTTGAATATCGTTTTATCAAGGATGCGATTACAAACGTTTAGAGGTATGCCACGTTGAAATCATTTTAAAATTGACAAAGTTATGGCTTCTGAAAATCCAATTTCAGGTCCGAAAAATGTATGAAGTCTTTTATAAAAATGTATTACAATTTTTAATGCAAAGAAATGATTTGAAAAATAAAATTCGTATTTGTTCCTATCTGTGATCTTTCTATGATTTAGTATATAGGAAATCCTCTTGTGGCTGTAAGGTGAGTGTACGTGACGATGCTCAAATGTTGCGCTTCGCCTACTTCTGGTTTATTTTCCTTAATAATTTCGAGACTCTGCTCCTTTCCATCTCCTCGTAGGCATTTCTTCATTCAATGTAAATGAGTTATGTCCATCTCCCTCAGGTAAAAGAGCATTCCTCGCGCTTTGTTTTTCGCCTGGCGAACGTGTCAGGATGGCCATTGCCTCCGTCTCCGCTCTCCGTCGGCCTTGATTGTGGGTTTTTGGCTGGGAGGCTGTGCTGTGGCATAAATCACAGGGTTTTGGACTGGACGCAGGACTGCCAGCGTTTTCCGGGACTGACCCGCGGGTTAATTGCTGACAATTTCCAGGCGGCATTCTGGGGCTTAGACGGACCTCTCTTCTGCTCACTTTTGCTGATTGTAATCTTTATTTATAGGCCGCATGTGTGTGTGTGTGTGTTAGCGTGGCCGAAATGCACTCGGGGGGTATGTGCCACATACACCATATAGTATCCATTGCCTGGGTAACAAGACAGGCCAAGTCGACAACTTCTCCTCCTCGACCATCAATAAGCCGCCGGAGTTGACTCATTCCCATTTTTATTTGCACACAGGAAGGAATGATAGCTCAAGTTGAAATATTATGATTAATGTTATTATAATAAAAAATAATTTATATTCTTGAATTTCAGAACAATAAATTAAAGGGGATCACTACAGCTTAACTATTCTCCAAAATAAAAGTAAACAAATAAGTTTTGTTGTGATCTTTGTACCAGTTGAAGTAACCTGTTAAAGTTATTATAAATTTATGCTGCAATGCTGCCAAAGTTTACTGCCAAATAGTAAAAAATAAATACTTGAAAGATATTTAAATTTTCCCCTGTGCATCTGTTAACCAGCAAGACCAAGAAAGATCTTTAAGCCAAGCTGGATCGCTGCCTTGTGGCATGCTAACGAAGTTGACAACTTGATGACATTTGATCTCTCGGCTCTGGGCGCTTGGATCTCCGATGTTGGCTCTTCTCTTGGACGGCACGGTGCGCCATCAAGCCGCAAATGACTTCGATGAGCAGATGAGAAGACAATGATCAGCATTTCGCATTTGGACACGCACACAGAAATCGGTTGTGTCTATGGTCATGGTTACACAGGGAAAATTATTCTAATTGAAAGCTCTTTCAGGAATTGAAAATATAAATCACAATCTAAGAAATATTCCGTTTATTTATAAAAACCCATAGAAAACATGAGCCCGCTACAAAAAAGGTACCTGGAGACCCGAACATATTTGAATAGAACCCCCAAGAGCGACTAGGAAATCGGTGAAGTGACTAAGACTAGTAAATGAACTAAGCGCACTCTTCAGTGGGCTACCCTCTACAGTTTGGCCTTTGGTGGTGACGATTGTGTCGGTGTCGGTGGAATCTCTGTCTTGGGATGACCCTCCTCCAGGGGCAGGAGATTGCCCAGAGCAAAGATGTTCTTTGGATCGAGATGCCGCTTGGCAGCCGAGTACAGTGAACTCCCTGTTTCGGTGACTGCATTGCGGTACCAATGACTGCGGATTTTGCCCACACCATGATGGTGGGATAGTGATCCGCCGCATGAGAGGATCTCATCCCGGGCACTGTGCTCGATGGCCTCGAAAAGCTCTACGGGATCGGTGACGTCCGTGCTGCGGAATCCAAAGTAGAAATAGATGCAGGCTCCGGCGTCGTATGTTTGGGTCACTCGACACGAAATGGTGTAGAAGATAATGCTGCGCTTGTGGCACTCCTAAAAATTATATGATTGTGATTATAATGAATATTGTTATTAACTTTCAGTACTTACAGATACCACTCGCTGTTTGACCGAGCGGCAGAGCAGACTACAGCGGTCCCAAGGCACCGAAGTCTCAAAGGACTCCGCCACAATTCCTTGATGCAGACCAAAGTCCTGCAAATATTAAAAGGACAACCAATAAGATAAAGGTAAAATTACAACTCACTTAATTCGTATAATGCTAAAAACCTTTGTTAGTTTTAACTTAACTATTAAATAGAATCTATAATCTTAATTTGGTTGTACAATTAACTGATAAAATCATCAAAATTATCTCTAAAAATGGCATTAAGTATTCCTTTGTCTTCTGTTAGATAAATAAATTATATAATGATCAAATCTGATTAAGTAGCATTAACACTGATATTATAATCAGTTATCTAATGTTAATTATGAACTATGTTCAAAGAGTGCAACAAAAACCAATCTTATGGATAAACAGCCGGATATAACACTTTATCTTTCATGTTCTGACCTTGGTCTTTAGTTAAACACTATTTATTTAAATAAACACCTAAACTCACCCTAATATAGGCAATCACAAAGGTGAGTATGTAGCCGCGTTCGCCGTTCTGTCCGCCCGCGGGAAACCCTTTGAACTTGTCGGCGATCTCGTAGATGAGTGCCTCCTGGCGCTGCACCTCCTTCAGTTCGCCCTCGAAGAGCAGGGTGGCTGCACAGATCTGGTTGAGATCGATGCCCTTCCAGGAGGTAACGTAGCGCTGCTTCAGGCCATCCACCACGCTGGCCCAAAAGGATTTCTCCGGCTTTAAAGCCTGGCCAAACATGAACTGCTCGTTGTCCATCAGACGAACGGAGGCGGGTTGGCATCTTCTCCGGGCCACTTCGCGCATGAAGAGCACTCCCTGCTCGAAGTTGGGGAAGGCCAGGGATCCATAGCGCCTTACTTTTGGTAATGGACGCACCTTTAGCACCACTTCGGTTATCACACCCAGGGTTCCTTCAGATCCCAGGATCAGATGATTGAAATCCGGACCGCAACTCACACGCGGCGCACTGCATTCGCGTTCCAGGGTTCCCGATGGAGTGACCATCCGAACTCTGACCACCAGATCCTCAATGTTCCCGTAGACGTTCTTCTTCATGCCAGATGCCCGGGTGGCCACCCATCCTCCCAAGGTGCTGAACTCATAGGAATCCGGTTCGTGACCCACTGTCAATCCCTCCTGCCGCAACACTCGCTCCAGATCCTGACCCACAATGCCGGACTCAAAGCAAACGGTGAGGTTCTCCCTGTTCAACCAGAGCAATCGGTTCATTTGGGAGGTGTCCAGAGCGACGATCATCCGCTTTTCGTTCTGGGGACAGGTGATGGCCCCTGAGACACTCGTTCCTCCACCAAAAGGCACCAGCATCACATCGTGTTTGTGTGCCAGCCGAACCAACTGGACAACTTCGTCGTGGCAACGAGGCCAAACCACCAGATCGGGAATCCTCTGGAACTTGTGGTGCCACAGGCTGTAGATATCGTTGAGGGTTTGGCCATGGCAACGCACCAGGCGATCGATTCCCTCCAGGGAGTGATCCACCTCAGTGGTGCCTTTTAGTTCCTGCAGAAAAGGAGCATTCTCAACGGGACGAGGATACGATCTTGGCAACTGGGGATACGGCTTGGTGGCATCCACCCTCAGATCGAACTTTTTCTCCACCCATTTTGTGAAGGTGGGTAAGTCACAGCCACCGAGGGGATATCTGAGAAGTTATTGGTTATATTAACTGTTGATGTGTTACTTTTAATTCAATTAACTAACCTTTCACCGCGAAAACAAATGATGCCATCCTGTCCATAAAACTGCGAGTCGTTGTAGCCCCATCCAAACCACTTGAGGGCTTCATGGCTGTTGTTTGTGATTATGGAAATAAACATACATTAGTTCTAACATTAAAATTGCATTAGGATAAGATAATGAGCAGGTGTGGACCCTATTAAATCCTGGGTTCAATAGATTAAAATAAAATTTTTATTAAAAGAAACAATTTAAAAACAAAATTTAACAAACAAACTTTTGAGAGGAACAATTTATTTTAAAGTAATAAAGATGTTAAGATTGCCTCAAATGCTTTTTTACTGTGTACACGCTGTGCCAATAAAATGTATTACTTCATAGGCAAAGGCTTATTATATTACCAGTGTTACAAAATATAATATTTTCCGAGCTTTAAATGGTTTTTACGTACCCTAATTTATATGGTGTAAACAGTGCTTAAATAAAATGTGTTATCTCTCCGCCACTCACCGCTTTTTGGGAATGACGCTCTCCACTTTTTTGGAGAGGCGGGAGTCGAGGGCCAGGGCGGTACCTTCGCCGGGCGCCGACGATTCCGGCGCTTCCGTGGTCACCGCATTCCGCTTGGCTGCCATTCTCCGGATTTATTGCACTTGGCGTAGTTGGAATATAAGGAACAGAACTTCACCCAGGAAATTGTAGTCACTTTTCGAACGCTTTTACATGAAAGTAAAATCGATAATGGCTGTGATTCCTTTTTTTTTTGTGGGCGCTGTCAGTAAAGGCGTTGCCTGCTAACTTTGCTTTAAAACTTTGTTTGAAATTTGAATTATCTACTTATGAATGAAACTCCTAATCTACCGGCAATCACGTTGGGCTAAAAACTAAAATTACTTAAATAGAAATTGCACTAGAAAATTATGCGGCCTATGGTGCGCGCACTTGGCTTTCGTTTCCTCAACTGCAGGGAAATCGGAAAATTGAGACCACGGACGGAGAGATACTGAGAAATAGAGAACAGGAGAATCCCGGAGAGCCAAAGAGAGCCCGCCCCCCCCAAAACAGGCGCGAACCGTTAACCGATTCGCAAAACGGTTCGAATTTAAAATATACGTTTTATCAAAAGACCCAAGCAAGCCTTGATTTTTCAACTTAAATCAAAAGTTTAAACTCCTCATGGAAATCACTTTGCTCCGGAATTTCAAGCGATTAACACAGTGTTCTGTCGAGTGAAAATCGTTTTGTTTTTTTGTGTTCCAAATTCTTGTCAAGTTAGTAAAGAAATTTATTTGACTTTAAGTAAACTCGAAAAGTTATTTACAAGTATTAATGTGATTGGTGGAATCTTCTTTTTACCCATTTAGCATGCCCGGAAAGAAGGATTCAGCCAAGGGCGCTAAAAAGGGAGCTGCAGCTCCTGCTGGGGCGAAACCGACCGCAGATCCTGCCACAGCTGGATCCACTGCCACCGTGGAGCAACCAGCTGCGAAGGATGCCAAGGGCGCCAAGAAGGGCAAAGGCAAGAAGAAGTAAAATTCGTACCTGGATTGTTAGAAATCAAGCAGATCGGACGGAGTAAAGTTCCCGCCAAGGGAAAAATGATAAAATAAAACTATTAAAACCACATGCGCTCTGTTTAACCGTTTCGCTCAGGGGGTGGAAATACGCCCACAAGGAAGAGAGCCCAAAGTTTTGGGGTGGCGTGCTTTACAGGGGTGGTATTCCCCCACTCCCCTTCCGGTTCTCTTGCTCTCTCGCTTATCTTTCACGTTGGCGAGTGCGTTAGTGTGAGTCATGCATAACTTTTGAATAAAGTGTGACGCTCCCCAATGAGAAACATAGACGTGCACGAGAAATTGGAAGGGGATCGATATTTTTTTGGTTCCTAATATCGTTTAGATATTACATTGGTTTATTGGAAAATTCATAAAAAGTTTAATATCATTAAATACCCCTAAAAAAACATCTGTTGACGCCCTTGTCGACAGGTGTTTAAAAATTTAAACGTCATAACATTTCAATTATTCAAGATCTAGAGAAAGAATGAAAGTAAAAGGAAATGCGTAGAATAATGCACCCTTATTGACCTATTAATAACTAATACCATCACGGGATAATAGACGCTGCAAACAAATCAATTCGAACTATTTGTCTATAATTTCTCGTGAAAACCTAGCAGGTGTCTGTTAATTTTAAATGCAAACTCTTGTCGGAATTCTCTTTAAGAACCTGTGAGCATGCATTCTAAAATACAATTATGGACAAAGTAGAATCAATCAAAAGAAACGGTCACAAAACACTTTAAATTTAACCGTCATTGTTTACTTTTGTTTGTATTTCACTACAAAAAGGATAAAATTCTATAGTTGGAAATTGCTTAATCTGTATCCTGACTTCCATGGTTTATAAATGTTGTGCAAGAATCACTTTAACAATCACTGCAGTTTAAAGACTTATTTGATAATGTGTATACGCAGTATTCTATTGGTTTATCCCAGATTTCTGAGATATAGCTGCAACATTTGAACAGTTATCCCGCAACTCACTTAGACCGAATCGAACTGCAGCGCACAACTTTGAAACCGAAACTGAGCTTATCCGCAGCCACACAACTTTTCTCTTGCAAATGGCAGCGCAACAAGCAGATTGTTTATTACGTACTTATTTGCACTATGCTGTATAGTTTAACAATTGTTTGAAGTGTAAATTCGTCAATGCTCCGCCGACGACGCGGCAATACGACAAAAACAAAATCCAAAAAAAAAGGCCGTTATTTGAATAATTTTCACACCAACGAAACACACGAAACCTGACGACACTTGAAGTCTGGAGACAGTATGAGCTAAGATTTAATTGGTTGCTTTTGACCGGAATTCGCATTAACCCATTTGAACTTTGCAACTTCAAAAACGCTTGATTTCCCTTATTGCTTATTTGTTTTATTGCCAAGTTAGCAACTTGCCGTTATCAACAGTTGTGACAACACGGCAGCAGCAGCGTTTACCTAAGCGCAATCGCAGCCAGGAAGTGTTAAGTCAATATTAATTAGCAAAGGGTAAAGCATTTTTGAGAAAAAATGCAAGTGGGATGCCATGCTTTTGTAACGTTTATTTTGTTTTTATTGAAAAGTAACGGTTCACATGTGGCGCCACCTGTCTCTCAGGCCAAATACTTGCGGCATTGGACTAATCGATTGGTTTACGATGTTTTACAGTGAAACTGACATATCTATATATTAAAATATATTGACCACATGACGTTACTGCGGTTGAGCTTAAGTTGAATATTTAGAGAAAAAGTTTTGTGTTCATGTCTTCTTCTATATATTGTCTTGGTTACCAAGTTAAAAAAAAAAATATATTTTAAATACCGATAACTACTTGCTAGCCAAACTGACACTTAATTTCTTGCCATCACTACAGCGTTCGGCATTTACCAACACTAACACCTGCAAGCAACTTGTCGTTTTCAAAGTGAAAAACATTAAATAAAACGCAATTTAATGGCCAAAACAAACATCACTCACCCCGGGTCGGCACGAAGTCTTTAAATAAATAGTAAATTTGTCGATTTATGGATAGTAAATGCCCAATAAGACGAAAAGAGAGGCTTGCCAAGTCTCCTGTGTGTATGCGAGTGTGGGTGAGTGTGCCTGTGTGTGTTAGTGTTGGTGCCAGAACAATAACAAGCCCAGAAATGCCAATGGATATGGAAATGGAATGTAATATAGAAGGACCCAAAAGAGCGTTCCACCAGAGGCGATGAATCACAGGTGAGCCCAACCCAAATCCGGTCCATGTAACTTATATGACTGATATATAATGGTCTTTACAGCCGCCACAAACGTGCCTTATTAACGAACGAAAAGCAATAAACTAACTTAACCCAAAGATGCCGCTGCTGAGCAAATGCTTCCCCTGCTTTAAGTTCAAGCGTGAGGAGGTGATCGACAAGCTGGACTATAGCAATACCCCTTTGACCGATTTCCCGGAGGTTTGGCAGCATGAGCGAACTCTGGAAGAGCTTTACCTGAGCACTACAAGGGTGAATACTTATTGGCCTTATCTGTGGACCCTTATTTACCTTTCATTATCTTCCAGTTGCAATCGCTGCCACCGCAATTGTTTTATTGCCAAGGATTAAGGGTGCTACACGTAAACAGCAATAATCTAGAAAGCATACCCCAGGCCATTGGCAGTCTGCGACAGTTACAACACTTGGATCTCAACAGGAATTGTAAGACTGTCTTTTTATTTTTCTTCTTAAATCTACAAAACATGTCCTTCCTTTAGTAATTGTCAATGTGCCCGAGGAGATCAAGTCGTGCAAGCATTTAACCCACCTGGATCTAAGTTGCAATAGCCTTCAACGTCTTCCCGATGCCATTACCTCGCTCATTTCGCTGCAAGAACTGCTGCTAAATGAGACCTACCTTGAGTTTTTGCCCGCCAACTTTGGGCGGTTGGTCAACTTGAGAATTCTCGAGCTGCGACTCAACAATCTTATCACGCTGCCCAAGTCCATGGTGCGATTGATCAACCTTCAGAGGCTAGACATTGGTGGCAATGAATTTACAGAGCTGGTGAGAAAAGAAGCTTGACCTGTAAAAAATTTCAATAACTTATAACACCTTTCCAGCCCGAAGTTGTTGGCGAGCTGAAGTCTCTGCATGAACTATGGATCGACTTCAATCAAATACGCCGGGTTTCGCCCAACATTGGCAAGCTGCGTGAGCTGCAGCACTTCGAGGCCAATGGCAATCTCCTGGACACTCTTCCCAGTGAACTGAGCAACTGGCGAAACGTAGAGGTGCTGTCCATATGCTCCAACAATCTGGAAGCTTTTCCATTCAGCGTTGGCATGCTGAAGTCTCTGGTGACATTCAAATGCGAATCGAACGGATTGACGGAACTGCCTGACAGTATTAGCTATTTGGAACAGCTGGAGGAACTGGTGCTAAGCCACAATAAGCTAATACGCTTGCCCAGCACAATTGGAATGCTGAAGAGTCTGCGCTTCCTATTCGCCGATGATAATCAGCTGCGTCAATTGCCGGATGAGCTATGCAGTTGCCAGCAGCTTAGTGTTTTGAGTGTGGCCAACAATCAGTTGTCCGCCCTGCCACAGAATATCGGCAACCTGGGCAAGATGAGGGTACTCAATGTGGTCAATAACTACATAAATGCATTGCCTGTTTCAATGCTAAATCTAGTGAATCTCACATCGATGTGGCTCAGCGATAATCAATCGCAGCCACTGGTGCCTCTGCAATATCTGGATGCAAGTACAAAGACCCAGTTGACCTGCTTCATGCTGCCGCAGGTCACTTTCAAGATGAACAGTATACAGGCCCAACAGCAAGCACAGGAGCAATACGAGTTCGTCTACGCCAATCAGCAGCAGCCCCACGTGAGTCCCTCCAGGAGGATCTGCTTCGCCGAGGAGGCCACCATCCTGAGCAATGCCAAAGCACAGCCAGCGCCCAGCTATCCGAGCTACGTGGCTGCTCCGCCAACCCCGACGCCCGATCAGATGGCTGGATCCGTGCGGCTGATGCGATCGCCCACTCCGTATCCTAAGGAGCTGCGTCAAATGGCCAAGTACGTGCGACAGGCTCAGGCGGCGACCACATCGGCCAATGCCAGCGAAGTGCGAGAGGCGCGGGTGGTGGCCAACGGCCAAGTTCACTGTGATAGCAGCAATGCCAACCAGGATGCTGTGGACCAGGCCACAGCAAGTGCAATATACGCCATGGCGCCCGATACGACACACATCTACGGAGTCTATCAGCAGCCGCAGCAGTTGGCGCATCCGGTGCCGACGCAGGAGTACTATGGCCTGCCACTGGTCAACTATGAGGCGCACTACCAGCAGCTCTACGTGGAGGCCAACACGCCGCTTCCCACCACGCATTTAAACGGGGATCAGGACTACGAACTGCAGCCGCTGCAGCAGCAAGCCATGCAGCAACAGGCGGCGCCACCACCTCGATTGGAGCCGCCACCTTACCACATCGCTCGAGTTTACACGAAGAAAACGCCAGAGGATCTCAACCTCTACGAGTCCATGCGACAGCGCAAGCAACAACAGCAGCTGCAGGATCAAACCATCTACCAGGATGCCTTGAACAGCAACAGCAACTTCAAGACCACGGCGATTGGCGCACAGGAGGTTGAGGAGTCTGTTGATCAGTTGGACTACCAGAACAATATCAGCAGTAATTTGGAGCTAAGTCCGGAGGAGGATGAACAGGAGCTGGACGACACCATGTCGCAGCACTCGCTTAATTCCACGGCCACAAACAATACTTCCAAAGCGAGCCACAAGAAATCCACCTGGATCTTTGGTGTCCACAAAAACCCGACAGTCAAACAGGTTACCCTCAAGTGGGAGCACAGCATTGGCTTCGACGTAGCCGAGCTGCTAAATCAGGTGAGTTTAATAGCTTTATTCCCCTTACATCCTTTCATGTTATTATTTTCCTTTACAGGTCGGCATCTTTGTGAGTTCCGTAACGCCAAATACGAATGCCGCCCGCCTGCTGAACCTGAACGACAAGCTGCTTGAGATCGACGGCTACGACCTGACAAATGCCAACCTGAGCGATGCCAAACGAGTGCTGCTTAACTGCGGCACGGTAATGAACATTATGTTGTCGAGAAAATGATGGACCATTTGTGAACCAACCTAAGCCGAATCCCATCCCGAGACCGAAGACTTTTTGTGCATTTTTCTAACGCATTTTTCCAATAAGCAGCATCGCCGATATCGGATCGCAACCACTTGGACCTATCATAATGTTAGTTCATAATAACCCTTCCGTACTGGCGGTCAAACGATCAGTCATAGAGCACAATCGCCGGCTAGATGATCCCATGTTTTTCTTCGTATGTTAGATAGATAGATCAATCCAAACTGCCATTTTCTCTACACCTAGATGAAGTATCCCATACTCAATAGAAAAATAATACCACAATACGGCCAAAATTAGTAGTTATAGCCCTGAACGAGTATTCTCTGAATTTGAATTAAATGAAACTGAGTGCATTTATGATTTGACTCTAACACAGTCGTTTTGCATCCAATCGAAGCGGCTTTTAAGTTATGTTTATCAAAGTTTGATTTAATCAGTATTTAATCGGTATCTTATGTAAATAGTTAAGTTAAGCATTATGAGAAGCAATCTTACTTTGTGTCAATTATGAGTTCTAGAGCAATATAAATTATCTGTACTCCATAATCACGACGCGTAGCTTACACTTTAATGGCATTTGCATCTCGAGCTGTGCGAATATTATTCTGACCGCCAGTGGAATGTAACAGCATAATACACATAAATAGTGCAATTAGCGTCGATTATAGGTATATATACGCACTCATACATATATATACTCGCGATAATCTGACAAATTACCTTCAACTAGCGCCTATTTTACGCCCAGCGTTGTTCAAATTTGTTCCCAAAATTGTATGTATAGATCAATTACTTGATTACAAAAGATATTTGCTGTTTATGTTAGTTGTTATGGTGCAGCAATATAAATTCTATATATATTTACATATACGTATACTCTATATTTATTATCCAATCGATCGAAGTGTCAAACATCATTTTCAATGCGAACTGTTAACACAAACTGAATTCTCACACCATTGGCGTTGTGATCAGTATTATTATTTATCTGGTTAAACACACGTGAAATCTATTCGAAAGTTAAGCACTTCTATATTCATAGCGATTATATATAGTCATACATATGTGCATTATCGAATTACACACACCCAAACACACTCACACTCACACACACACACATACGAATCTAGCTAACTTAAGCGAGCGCACACATTTTGCCAATTCAATTTGATTTAAGAGCGTTACCACAAATCACTGAAATACAACTTTCACTTTGTCATTTCGCCATAGTTTTTGATTAAATCTTATCCAGCTACCAAAAAGGGAAAAGAACAAAAAACAAAAAAAGAAACCATCTAGTCAACAGCCGGCCCTTTGATTAATGTCCCCGGCTGCCGCTGTCGTTATCGACAGGCAATTATCTATGGAAATTAATTGTCGGCGACATTTGTAGTGTGCCAGCCGGCTGACACCAGCCAAGCACGCAATCCAATCCTCCAGGACGAAAACCACTCCCCGCATGTCCTTCTCCTCGACTCCTCGGAGGACTGGCTACAACATCATCACCGACAGCGCCAGCGAATGTTGTCTGTTGCGGCACTTTGGCCATATATATTTGCATAAAAAGTGTACAACCAGCGGAATGGTCCATAAATTCAACTGGAAACTATTCAACGCCAAAAGCGCAACCAAGGACGATGGGCCGAAAAGGTGAAACAAGTGGAAAACATTTTGATGGAATGCAGGTATTTACTGGGGAGGGTCATGCAAATTTACAGAACTTATTTTTGGGTCATGGAACTAAAACCATTTAACAGGGTAATTTTTATAAATTGAAAATTTATCAGGGCGCTCGAGATCTGTTGTGATTTAATACCTTCATAAGATTTTTGTTGGGACTAAACAAAACATATTTCTTAATTTAACGGCAAAAATAAATCAAAAAGTATGAAAATGTTAGGCTATAGAGTAACATCCAATTTAGAAATAATAGAACTGCTTTTAAAACAAAACTCCCATGGTACTTTAGCCTGCGGATTCGCGGGCTGGCGTCAAAAAAGAAAGGATGTTTGTATGAATACCCGTGCATATTTATTTTGTACGGCACTAATAATTACACTAACACACTGCCTTCGTGCCAAAAGGGGAGTTGATGGGTGATGGGTGATGGGTGGCGGCAGGCAGCCTTGTCCTTGTCAAATGTTTCGTTATCTGGTGCCGTTGTTGTTGTCAAGCCCCCGCCTTCTTTTGGTCTTTTTTTTTTTACTTTTTTACACACCAGCACACACACATACCATAGAGAGAGAGAGTCGAAAGGCCACCCACCCAGATGCCACCCACTCTCCCCCTTTGATAGCGTCAACATCAACTAAAACTGTAAGCGACTTCAAACGGCGCTTTGTCAGTGACCTTCGCGTGCTGGGGCGATGGCATATGTTTTTCTTGCCAACCCAAGCACCCACCCAACCCACCAACCCCACTCACCCACTTCTTGGGAATGGGTTTGAATGGGACAAATGGGGCTGTGGAGGCCGAGTCCCGGGAAACTTGATTTGACATATGATGTGCCCGTTTCGGCGTGGACTCCTTATCCAATCTGGCCCAAATACATTTATCAATATCGCTTCTGGTCGATTGAAATACCACCCGGAGGCGGCAAGTCTTCACGTTCGCTGAAAGCCAAGAATCACCAGAAAGAATAAAGCAAGTGGGCCCAGTGCAGCCCACCCTATTGGTCATTAGCATTTTCGGCGTGTATTTATGGCCAGAAAATGTTGCGCCATAAACATGACAACAAAACAAAATGCGACAAATTTGCGACGGCGATTGCCCATGTGGCAGGCACAGTGGAGTCCGTCCTATCCCCCAGGGCCAAATAATTGTCATCCAGAATAAAATATGTATGCACGAATATTGTTTGGCTTACGCTCAATTGGTGGCCGGGAGGCGGAAAAGAGCCACCCACCCACCCATTCTCAAAGGCGGGCCAATTGCAATGCAGAAACAATTGCATACTTGACGGGGCAAAGTTTATTTTTATGCGAGAGACGACACTCGGCGGGGTATTGAGAAGTGGATACAGTGAAGACTCTGCGGGGAGTGCATTCATAATTAATAAGATATTTTGATATGCTTCGATAAATAAAATATATTTATGTTGGAAGGTTATCCTTGAATGAGAATCTGAAAAGGGAACAGAAAACCTATGAGAATCAAAAAAATTCAGTTTCTTATTTTAATAAATTTGTTAAGGGGTTAAGCTTAAGTATATTTTAACGGAAACAGCCTTTAAAATTTTAGAAATATTTTGATAAAATCACAACCATTGAAACCAAGAGTTGAATGGATCAATTCAGTATTACTTTTTCTGGCATATCCAAAGACAAGCAACTATAAGTGAATATGTAATGGGAAAACCAACCCCGACCATCAGGTTTCTTGCCTCAGTTTTCTACCTTTAACCAAGGAACTTTCCGTCTTAAGGAACTTTCCCTGTACACACACTCAAGCCCATATCCACACGCACGGGTAGTGGAAACAAATCAACTCTGTTTTGGCGCCATGCGGCGTAGTTGCTCTGCACTTTGCCTTCACTTTGGCAGACCAACAAACGCGACCGCGACTCTTGGCCAGAAGCACAGCAGAGCCAGCAGAATGGCTAAAGCTAAGGCCAGAACAGAACAGAGCAGAGTACAGCACAGAGCCAAAGCCAGAGAGCCAGGCCAAAAGGCAAAGGCAAAGGCAGCCAGCCGGCCCAACAACTAGTTTTTCTTCAGTTCCTCCTTTGGCTTTCATTGTACACGGGTTTGTTGTTTAGTGTGCCATTGGCGCTAACAACGTGCGGTTCGCTCTTGCGGTTTTGTCGCCGCCCGTTAGAGCCAGGAAAGCCAGAATAAAATCTAGCCCCCGAAAACGAGGCTCCAAAACAAAGGTGGCGAGTGCATTTCAACGAGATCTGCAGATTACACAAGTCGCGCCGGCTTGTTGGAGTTCCTTGAACTCCCTTAGATTTCTTTCGCGGGGAGGGGAGAGTGGAGTTGTGTAACCCATTTTCTCGATTGCACTTTAAAAGGCGATTACTCTAAATATTAATAGGATTTATTGATTGGCTGTCGGTGGGATCGAAGCCAGGCTGTAGCCCCATCGCCATCCATGTCCTTTCTCTCGCCCACTTTGCGACTGGAGAACCTGTCCACGCAGCCGACGATGACGCAGGATCATGTGCCCGAGGACCAGCGCTACAATAAACAGAATATCGTGGCCCAGTGGTGTGTGCCCATCAATGGCAAGGTATTATACTTACATACATACGTACATATGTGGCTATCAAATGGGAGTGCTTTCCGAAAACCGCAACTTAAATTGATGGAAATTCGCCATAATTGTCGCCCCCTTTTCGCTTAGATGTACCGCATCGAGCTGGAACACGGAACGACGAGTGGGAGGCGCATGATTTGGGTCAACGGACGGGTAAGTTTTCTAGCTCTTCGGGTGGCCAAATGGGTAAATGGGTAATGGGTGGCCCTCTCGGAGCTCCGGAGCTGTTGAAGTATTTGCATTGTGAAGGCGAACTTAATTACGGGCGGTGCTCGTACGTGTAGTTTTTAAGTGAATTACTTTTCACTCCCCACGGAGAACGCTTATCCACAGGATAATAACTAGGGAGTTACACTAAACGCATTTGTTAAAGGAATATGATTAGTAAAATTAAGAACGTAACTAATTTTATGCTTGGTTAAGTCTAATTCAATAGTAAAACATTTCCAACTTCACTTACAGTTTTCCCCTCCATGAATGGTATATGAATGAGTCAGAGTCCTTGATATCAACACCATTGTTTAGCAAAATGAAATAAATTTCCAGAAAATGTCCTGCAGATATTCCGCCTTCCTTTATTTATGTTGAGGACCTCATTAAATATTGAGTTTATTACGTACCAACACTAAATTCAAACATAAAATCCGCAATAAACTCAAACGAATTGAAACCGACATTAAGAGTGAATAAAATCATTCTGCACTCACCACAGGAGGTCCTGCGACGCGACTGGATGTTCAAGCTGGTCGGCGAGGACACCTTCCACATCGACCAGACGCGCTGCATCATCCGCGTGGATCCTGCGCCGGGCTTCAAGTACGAGTACTCCCTGTACATCGATGGCAAGTCCCATGACCAGTACACCGAGGACATGACGCGCCAGTATCGACTGTGGCTCTACACATCCGAGTCACCATCATCAGGAGATTCGGGAGCGGAGGCGTCGCAGGAGTACAGGATAATGCTCAAGCTGGACACGCTGAGTCTCTACGTCAACGATGAGCTGCGCACCGAGGAGGTAGGCAAAAAAAAAGAAAAAGAGATGGGTTCCATTTGGTTCCTCCGGTTCCGCCGCACACACAGTATCCTCACATTTTTATTACCCCCGTTCCGCAGTCGGTTTTCGTTCACGGCGGCACAGACACCCAGTTCCTGCTGCAGGACACGGAATTCGTGCTTCAGGCACGCTCAAGTGGCAATAAACATGATGGCATCGTTCACACTCTGCTGGCCAATGGGGTGAAAGTTCCGGAGGCGAAGATTCAGGAGATTATGCAAGAGCCGGTCTCCATTTTGCAGACCAACTGAGGGCGAGCCCTCCTCATCACACACTTTAGGATAAATGTTTTGCATTTGTTGAATTTTCCCCCTCCCCCAGTTGTTAATAAAAAGTTTTACCGAAAAAATGGTTTTCAAACTAATTGAAAAGGAAACCGGTTTTTTCTTATACAATACTTTATTCGTTTTTGTTTGTTTATATGCATAATTGCAACGCAACTATCGTTTACGTTTTCAATTTCATTTTGACATTTTGCTAGCATCTGAAATGTATGCCAAAAGTGCATCCAGTTTGTAAAATTAGTCGGAAACATCAGTTGAAGAAATACAAATTTATGTATACGCTCGTTTAAAATCATTAAACACTAATTTAACTTACGCATCGAACTTGGTTATCAAACACAACAACAAAATCAATGGGCTTGGCTAAAGTATAAATGTGGCTTTAATCAACTCGTCAACCGTCAAGTGCAATTTGAAATTGATTTAGTGTTCGTCTTGTTTGTTTTGCATTTAAATTGATTGCTTCTTACTATTTTGTTTGAATCAAAAACTCGGTTTGATCAATATTACTTTTTGTTTTGTTTAGATTGCGTTGTATTCGGAAATTTAACAATATGCGCTTAATTTTTTGTCTTTTATTTGCTTTTCATACATTAACAAGTAACATTTTTGTTGAAATTTATTTTTAGTTTCAATTAAAAACACAATACTTTATTTACCTTTGCAACACAATGATATTTTCGATATATACTAATTTTAATTAATTTCACAATATTTGTATGTGGGTTATAAAAACATAGTACACAATTTTGTATTTAAGTTTCATGTGTATATGTATATTTAAATATTAGGCTAAAAATTTACGCAGAATATGCAAAAAGAGGAACCCAAAAGAATTTGAATTTTGATTTTCTTTTCGACGAAAGTTCTCATCACTAAAAATTTGTAAATATGCTTTTTGCAATGGCATTATTAGGTGCCTCAATAAAGTAACAAAAATATATATATTTTTGTTGTTGTAAGTACAGTGGAATGCATTAAAAAACAAAAGTTTATTTAATACTTAACGAAGATATATTGCCAGTAGACGGATTGTGTTTGCTTGTGTTTTTTTTTTTATAAATAAATAATACAAAATGAATACAATAAATAAATATGTTTTTGTTCGCGTTTTAAGAGAATTTTCTCCCGAATTGGTTAACTATACTCTGTGTAAAAATTAGTTTTACGAAATTACATTTTGTGGTATTTTGTTTTTGTTTTCGTTTTCTCATTAACTATTGCTGTTCACAGTACACATATAATATATGTCGATCTTTTGCTGTCGCTTTTAAAAACCATGCTCTGCTCTCTATAAACTAACACACACACATTTTACATTAGAGTTTATATATGCTTAGATATTATAGATTGATTCATTTGAAATATATACTCCTGCTTCTCCTTCTTCTTCTTCTTCTTCTCGCACCTCCTCCTGGCTAGTAAAATTAAACTTGAAATGTCCTTTGTTAGTGTTAAACCTTTAAAAATTATATATATTCATATTTTGATGCACGTATTGTTAGCTTAAAAAGTTCTTGTTGCATTCTTTTGCGGGAGCATTGTCCCTAAGTTTCCTGGTGAAAAGTCTTGCATTGAGTTATGAAATGGTTTTTCCTTTGCTTGCATAAAGTTTGCCTGGCTGCCTAGGTGCTTAAATAGTAAAGTAATCGTTTTGCTTTTATGTTTCTTTAGTGTAATACTTGCAACTTGTGACAGTTTTTGCTTCGCTTCTTTCTTTCTTTATATATAATAAATATACTTTGCTTACGAAAGTTGTGTCTGTTGTTTAGAAGAGGATTATATAACTTGTATAGTTATGAAATTTAATTGTTTTTTTCTTTTTTGCTTGGAATCATATTAATTTTCTTTGTTGCTCTGCTACTTGTTGTTGCTGTGTGGCTCATTGTTGTTGCTTGTTGTTTTATCTAATTCGTTATTTTAATTAGTTCAATGGAAGGCAAAACATGTGCTGCAGTAGACTTTTATTATTATTTGCTTGCATTTGATTATTATGAATGTTATTGTTACCATTATGATGAAGTTGTTGCTGCTGTTGCGGCTGCTGATGTTGCTGCTGCTGTTGTTGCTGCAGTTGTTGCTGCTGCTGCTGTTGTTGTTGCTGTTGTGAGTATGTAGAATGGGGAAGATATTGCTGCTGTGGCTGGCGATAATGCTGCTGCTGGCTGAGATTGTTGTTGCTGCTGACCGATCCACCGGCTCCCGCTGCGCTGTTCAAATGCAGGAGACTCAAGTCATCGGCCACGGAATCGTAATCACTGGAATCCTCGCCATAAAGCTAAAGGAAAATATTCATTAATAAAATACTCTTAATATTGTTAGGATTTCATTTGCTTACCCGCATGTTATACGGATGTAAGTCGCACATTTCGTGATGTCAGACGCAATCCTCCAGAGACATCAGCAAGGGGTTCACATACTCAAAGCCCTCGAACTCCGATTGATCGATATTATCAATGACATGACTGTGATTTAAAAAGAAAGAATGTTTGTAAGTCATTGCAAAGTATTTAGAATGGTAATAATGAGAGTTAAAACTTGGATTTAGGCTAAGATGTCAACTTACTCATCATCCGGGGTCAACTGCACCGCCTCGCCGGTGAACTCGGGCGGGAAGTTGGCCAGATCGCGATCTGAGTCTAAGCGTGGCTTGAATGGTGGCGTGACCTGTTTGCGCTCGAGCTGCGTGATTTTTTTTTGTTGGGTGTGCATGAGGATAGTAGAAATCATAATCGATTAGGAAAACACCCGGCCAATGGACAAACATAAAACACATTTTTTCTCATTCATGTCGGTGCGGCTTGAGCATGATAATGATTATGATACAAAATTGTTTTTATTTCTTTAAAGACAGATAGAGAGGTTTGATAAAATGGAGGGTTCATGTTCGAAATGCGGCTGATCGATCGAAGCAATTACCTGCCGTTGGACTGGACACTAAACTATGAACTTTTCAGGGGTTTATCTCATGCAAGGAATACGAAAAAAAAAACTAACACAACTTGCCATCTTTTGGATTCTTTTTTGGGGGGAAACTCGTTGTGACTTACGGATCATCTGGCGTTAGGACAGCCGGTTCTTGGGTAAATTGCACATCGAAGTTGCTTGTCACATAGGGATCGCCAGTGTCTAGGTTTGGTATATAAGGCGGTTGCACCTCCTTTTGTGCTATCTTAACGCGCAATCGTATACGTAATAATAGATATCATTAATATCCAAGGTAATCAGTTGGCTGATACCAAAGGTAAACCAAATAAAAATAGATTGGACAAGTAACTATAGACCTGACCTATGTGAAACCTTTTTTGTCTTAGTGTATGTTGCGTTTAATCTAATCTGTTTGCAATAAGTTTGCCTCAGTTTTTTATCATTAACCCCACACATTATCATTATCACAAACAAGTGCACATGGACACACAGAGCTAGTGCTGAGGCAACCGCCCTCGAACTCACCAATTCCCAGTCCATGTTCTTGAAGAACGGATGGCTGACGATGTCCATGAAGGCGGACTCCCGATGGCAGCCCAAGCGGTCAGCGGGATTCTTGTTGAGGAAACCTTTCAGCACAGAGGCGGCTCGAACGCTCAGCGAGCGGGGAATACGAATGGTCTTCTCCAGGATCACTTGGAAGAGATAGTCCTCAGTGTTCTAAAAAGTATATAAAATCATTAAACTAATGAATTTAAACAGTACAAATAAGTTAACCCACCTGATCGGGATTCTCGGAGGCTCCAGCCAGATCAAACGGACTGCGACCAGCCAACATCTCGTAGAGCAGGACACCGAGTGCCCACCAGTCCACCGAGAAGCCGTAGTCCTCGCCCCTCAGGATCTCCGGGGCAATGTAGTTGGGCGTGCCGCAGAACGTGGAGGTGGTGTCGCCCGATCGAATGCCCTCCTTGCACATGCCGTAGTCCGTCAGCTTGATGTGGCCCTCGTGGTCGAGCAGCACGTTGTCCAGCTTCAGATCGCGATAGATGATGCCCTTCTCGTGGAGGAAGTTCAGCGCCAAGCTGATCTCCGCGGCATAGAAGCGGGCGTGCTCCTCGGGCAGCCGCCGTTGCCGTTGCATGTGGTACATCAGATCGCCACCGCGCACAAATTCGATGACGAAGAACAAGCGCGATGGCGTCTGGAAGCACGAGTGCAGACCCACCAGGAACGGATGATTGGAGGCCGTTTCGAAGACGTGCTTCTCGGTCTGCACCCAGTCGATGTCCTCGTCGTCGGTAACAAGAGCCTTCTTGATCACCTTCATGGCGTAGATGCGCCGTGTGCGTCGCAGCTCGACCATCAGCACCTTGGCATAGCTGCCGCGTCCAATCACCCGTATCAGCTCGAAGTCGTTCAGCGAATACTGCCGCTGGGTGCCCGGCTCCAAGGGATCCTCCGGCGGCGGTGGCGCCACAATGTGGGCGTGATCGTGCGACTCGCAGGCATCCGCAGCTCCGCCGCCCATCGCCTCGTAGGGAAGTGGAGGCAGAGGCACCGGCATCGGGTCACTCGACTCCTCCGCCCGCTCCTTGACCAGCGGCTCCGGCTGGTCGGTGCAGTGCTTCTGCACCAGCTTATGGCACTTCTTGTGCACCAGCAGCTTGCACTGGATGCACTTGAAACCCTGACGGCCCAGTCCCCAGATTCGATCCTGGCAGTAGGCACAGAAAGCACGCTAAAAATAAAAAGAATATTTCAATTATTGGATGTTCAAGGAGACTATGGATTTAGTATAACTCACCCGGTTGAAACGCTTGGCCTGGAAGATGTGTCCATTGACGCGATACAACTTGCGCCAGCGTCGAGCACCGCGTCGATAGATGCTGCCTAAAAAATAAAATATTTTTAGTGTTGGCATAATCAAACAATTCGCTTTGAACGTTCAAATCACATTAAAGTCGAGCTCTCTAATGTGATACTGCCGAAACATTTATTTCAATTATCATAATATGTTCATTCCGAAAAAATGCAAGTATTTTAATCACAAGATTAATAAATTCTAAGAAAGAAAAGATGTTTAAATTCTTAGAATATGAATTGGAGGGCAAAACGAATATTAGCTTTATCATTTTGTTGAAATATAAAATAAAATTGACACGCTTTTATAACAAAGTGATTTGTCCATATCGAAATCAAAAGCGGGAACCAAGTCGAATGGCATTATGAATCAGAAAGCCGGTGAATCAATAACCTATAGTTATCTTTGGCCAGCTTATTTATATAGCAAAGTTCGTTGTTCGAAGGGTGTTCTACAAATTATAAACTACTATACTTAATATAGAAATCCCCATATAATAATTGTTTATATTATAGTTTGGTTTACACTTACGATCTTCTCCATCGCAGGACAACCCCGGCGCTTGAGGAACATTGGGGAATACTGCAAAGACAAAACAAAAACAAACTTTTTATAGACTTTATACCAAACATGATTTTCGATCATATATATATTAAATACTGATCTCGAATTTTGGATAATTGTAGGGCATGCTTACGGCAGGCTAGTTTGCCCATCGGGTAAATCTCTTTTCCTGCCGCTGGTTTGCTTATCAATTTAATGAGATTTCCAGTTTACTGGTTGGTGATTTTTACTTATAAACGGATTCTTGCCGAGCCACATAAAACGTGTTGTATGGTACTCCGCTGAGGGCCTGTTAACATGTCAGCACCCACTCCTCGACTGAACCAATCCGATTGCCAAACACTGGCAGTTCCTTATCTCAGTGCCACGCACCATATACACAAAATAAAGAGCGGGAGAGATACTTTGAAATCGAGGAAATCTAGAGAGATATGGCTATGGAGTTACTGCTTCGAGGGAGAAGGAGACTCTTCGCTCTTTTCCGAGTAAATGTTAATTAAGCTTTTCCGGGAGACCACCAGCTAACATCAATTGAGACCAATTGTTCAGCTATCTGTTCTCCAGGCAACAATCATCGCTCATCGCTCATTCATAATTCAATTAAAGTGTCGCCCCAGGGAGCCTAGGGTTCAATAAATTCGTCTGTCCGTCTGCAAGGTTAACATTCAGATAGCAGATAGATTCTATACTAGATTCTATACTTCTACACTGCCTCATGCCTCACATTGACCTAGAATTTCGGGTTTTTCACTCTCCACTATGCATATAGTATTTCCATCGCAGAGCGTTTCTCGCTTATCAATTGTGATGGGACCTACACGGTTTTGGTTTTGTTTGGACTGCGCTCTTGTTTTTTTGCTACTTTTGTTTGGCCGGCTTGTATTTTACGCCTCGTAAATGCCTTGCTGGGGGAGATAAGGAGGTTGGAACTTATGGAACGAATATGAACAGGGGGAAATACAGTTAGAAGTGGCCTATGGCTAAAAACAAAAGGAGCGATATGCACTATTAGTCATAAACTTTGGGGTGAGACTTAATAGTCTGAAGGTCGCGCTAGAAGGTAACGATTGTGATTTGATTTTGGTTTTTATGCCTTGTATTTTATACCAAATTAAAAATAATCAAAGATTCTGATTACTGCAATATTGAACCACTTCCGTTTCCATTGCTGTACAATTTAAGTTGAGGCATAGAAACAATTTTAAGTTTAACCCTCAGCGCACACACTGGGTGAATTTCACCCAGCGCGATTTTTCGGCGGTTCGGCATTTAAAAATGGAAGGAGGTGGGGGCTTGGGAGTGGGGTGTGTGCGTTGTGTTCCATATTCCACGTAAATACAGACATCGTGTTAGTTTGAAATTTTAATTGTAGACCCCCTTTTTCGCGTTTTTACATGTGACATATCATTGTTTTCGTTGAAAAGGCGCCAATACACTGACGCGGGCCCTTGTGAAGCCATTTCTGGTTAGGAGATTGATGTTACCATCGTTGCAAATGCAATTGCGGTTGCAAATTGAACAATTCGTAAACTACCAAGATAGGCCTGAAATGGACAACCCAAAAGACTTTTCACTTGAGAACAAAATGTCTAAACACAAAAAACAAAGAATTTGAGCCCCAAAATGCATTACTCTATACCACACTTTACCCGCAACAACGAAAAAATTGACCCATTTTCATATGACTAAAAAAATATACTTTTTGGAGAGTACGGTTAAAGTGCCATTAAAATCTGAAATTTCGTACCCTGAACTCTTGAAAAAATGATTTCTTTTGTAGACTGATCACTTTTTTCATTTTAATAACAATTTTTGAAAAAAAAGTGACTTTTTCACAAACACCAATCAGTTTTTTACGAATTAAAGTATGAAAAATTGAATTTAAAACTTCACAGCTTATACCGTAATATTCTTGAGAAAATTCTCCATATAACAAAAAAAAAAGTTTTTGAAAATCGGACAATTACAAGTAAAGTTATTAACGGGCAAAGTCGAATGGGTGAAAAACACCCAGTGTGTGCGTTGTGTTAAAAAACAGAGGTGTGTGCGCTGAGGGTTAAGTTTGATAAGTTTGTTTACATTTTTTAAATTTTAAGTTGCTGATAACCAACCGACCATAAATTATTTTTGGTCCCTAAAAAATTTAACTTATTTACGAAGAGTTGTTTTTGTTTGCTCAAATTAAATTCAAGTTCAGGAAAAATCCAGTTTGGAATTTCTTTGTATGAATATACATTGTACATTGCTCTGGTTTCTAGTTTAAAAACAAACTAAATTAGGTTTTTCTTTTAAGTTTGAGTTGGGGAAGTGCTCCCGTAGTTGAACCACATGAAATCCACATTGATTAATTGGCAATTTAAATGAGAGTCTCTTCACTAACACGATGCTCCGCCGGTCATAAAAGTGGCCGTTTGAGTGCTGTATATTTGGGCCGCCTCGCAAAAGCCGCTCCAGATGATCATTGTAGTTGGTATTCTCGCGGTAAAAGGGGTTTACGGGGTTTACTGGGTGTATTGTATTGGATAAGTGGTGGGTTCAGGGGTCACTGGAGCCCGGTTGAGACACACTTGCAAAAGAAACGCTCTTGAAAACGCGCAAAGCGTCGTCACCGCGCGACTTTCAGCTACAAACTGAGACCACGACTTCTCGGCCAAAGAAGCATAGGCGAAAATAACACAGAGAAAAACCCGATGAACTGAGAACCGAACCGGAGAATCGCAATCGAAAAGCACAACAAAAGAACAATAAAAGCAAGTGCCTCAAGTGGCCGATTGAATTGTCACCGCCATCGTCTTCCTCCTCCTCCAAATGGGAGCAAGTGAGAGCGCGACGAATGGCTTCTTCGATAAGATCGGGGCTGGCACTTCCATAAAATTAAGTACAACGCATGCGGCCGAAATCAATAATTTATTGGAAATAATAAGTTCGGATAAGCACCAATTTATTGCACTTAATTCGGTGTGTTGCTCAAATCCCGGGAGCTTCAAAAGCCATTTATTAGTTAAGTGGGATAGTGTATAGTCATTATACTCGCATTGCTATATTTCACACAAATGATTTAGACTATAAAACTTTTTAAGTTTGGTAAAAGCATTAAAATAGTTTTGTAAGGAAACGAAATCATGGCTTTTGAATCTTCTCAGATTTCTAGAAACACTCTAAAACAAAAGTGATTAAAAATAAACATTAGAGCTTACCAACTCAACATTTAAATAAAATAGTAACATTTAATCATTAAATACTTTTTATGATTTGTTACAGAACAAAGGTTGTTAAACTAATAATAGGCTTAATAAATATTTATAAAGTTAACAATACAATAAAAAACCATTCTATATATTACTTGATATAACTTAAATATTTATATTAAATTATAATTTATTTACGATATTTCGAATGTATATTTGCAAGATCTCCCAATCAAATTTACCTGTCGCATAGGCCGGTTCGATCTCCTCCTCGGATTGAAGCTGATGCTGCGACATCTGTTGCGGGGGCGGTGCCACGCCCATCGGCACAGTGGGTATGGGCACGGGAATGGGCAGCCGCTCGTAGTGGATGCACTCGTGGTGATACTGCTGGTGGTGATGGCCGTGTCCATTGTGAATGGTTCCCAGGACACTGCTCCTCCCGCCGATGCTGCCACCAGCAATGGATCCTCCTCCTCCACCGCCACCACATCCATTCAATCCACTCCCGGCACTTCCGCTGTGGTGACTGTGATGGTAGTCCATCAGCATGCCCGGCATGCCCACGGCACCCATGGTGCCAGGTGCTCCTCCTCCTCCTCCTCCGCCGCCTCCACTGCTGCCACCACCCGAGTCATCCGTCGTCGTGGTGTTCGTGTTGTGGCACCTGCTGGAGCACCTTCCCAGCGATCCACTGCCGGCACTGTGGTGACCCAGGCTGCCCATGTGACCGGGGTGACCCATGACCAGCATCCCGCCCATGATGGATCCGCCGCATCCCTGACTGGAATCCGATCCCGAGTCGTGGCCTTGACAGACGGCACCCGCCGATCCTGGACGACTCAAGGTCGTGTGTGGTGGCGTCACCGAAGCGGTTGTCTGCATGTAGTGATGCGTATAGGGATGCGGATGCGGAACATCATAGTCTCCCGTATCGATGTGTCCCGCCGACATCATGCCAATGCTTCCAGTACTCCCTGTGCCCACTCCAACTCCAACGCCTCCCTGGAGGCAGCCCAGTGATCCGTGGGCACTGCCATGGTGGCTGTGACTGTGATGGCTGCCATGGTGGCTCCCGTGGGCACTGCCACTCCGGCTGTGCATCGAGACGCCGCGGGTGAGCGTGTTGTTTGCCGACTGGATCGAACTGACCACCGCACCGCGGCACATGATGTCCGACAGCTGGTTGGCCTGAATGTCAAAGTACTTGGACTGGATTATGGTCGAAATGGGAATGGGAATGGGAGGAGAATGAGAGCAGAATGGATACAACCAGGTCAGTGATAAGGGTCTTTGATTTAACCACAAAATTTAGAAGCGAACGCAGCTTGAAGGTGTTGCAAAGATTAAGTCCTCATCTAAGGAGATCTTTAAAAATACTATACTGCCTTTAATGGTTTCTGTTATGTTACTGCTGAGGTTAAATTAATAGTGGTGGAAAAATAAAAAAAACAAGAATGTGAAAAAGTTAAAAAGTTATCAATGGGAGTATAAATGTTTACTCTACAATTGTTGCTTTTCAAGTAATCAGCTATGAGTATCCAATTCATATCTTTACGATCGACAAAAATGATTGAGTCATTACACTCTTTTTATTGGCTTCCATTAATAGAATTTGCTGTCCTTTAATACAAATTTGCTAACAAGAGATTAAAGAGAATTTACACTAAATATTTCATTGCTATTTCAAATGCTTTAGTCTCACATATTTAAAACAAAATCTGTATGATAGGTTAAAGTTCAAAAGCACCTACAAATCAGTTAAGTAAACGAACTAACTCCCAACTAATCTTCGCCCCTTCAAGCTGAGTTCTTGGCGAGAGTGAAAGCAAGAGTGATCCGCCGAATACCTGTGGACTGTCCAGCTGGTCGAGCGATTGTCTTCGGGACGCGTAGTCCAGGTGCGTCATCAGCTGCTGGGCGGCCGGGCAATTCTTGTTGGAGTGCAGGTGCTGCTGCGACGACGTGAGCAGCGGCGGCGGCGGCGGCGTGATGGAGCCGCACGGCGATCCTGGGCAAGGACTCGAGCAGCGGGATCTGCAAGTGGGGCTGTAGCAGAGGTTGCCACTGCCCTGCTGGTTGGCCGATGGAGTGCTGGGGCAGGTCTGCGATTGCTGCTGCGATTGCTGCTGCTGCTGTTGCGGCAGGCAGGGCTGCTCCTCCTCCTCCTCCTGCTGCACGATGTTAACCGGAAGTGGGGCACATTGCGTCAAACGGCGTGGCGATCGCCCGCGATCCACAGTCGTGGCGGACCAGTAGCCCCATGCCATCTTGGATTTCTCTCGGAATTTTTCACTTCACGTCGCGGTAGTTCGGTTCACTCTCAAAGCTTTTGCTTCGAAGTTGCTTTTTATTTAGTTTTCTTTTTGAAGTTGCTTTGCACTCGACTTGTTTCTGCGATTAATTAACGTTAATTAGCTCACGCACTCAAAAAATCAATGTGGGAGTACAGGTTGCACTTGACCAGTAGACTTATTGAAGTTGAATACCCACAAACGAAAGTTGAGTTTAGTAAACTAGTTTCAAGAGAAGTTGAGTTAAGTAAACTAGTTTCAAGTCTATTCAAAAAGAGTCTCAATAAATACATTAAATTCCTCTGAAAAGCCACTCTATATGAAATCAATTTAATTATACTATAATAAATAAATCAAAGCATCTCTAAATCCCCAACTTAAGTTAGAATCCTATTCAGTGACAGTAAGCCCAATTAATTTCACTTCAAAATACTTGATTTATTTTCGCTTCATTCCAACATTTCTTGAGTAAGTGCTAGCAATATTTCTACTTAACATAACCCCCTTTACAAATGGAGCGTATAAAAAATTGGATAAAACGGAGAAAAGCGGAGGGAGAACGGGGGAGAAAGTGTGGCGCGAAGGAAAGCGGAACAAGGTCCCAGTTGCAATTACAGTTACATGGCGCAGCAAACTATGCAATGCAAAGTTTCAAAGCCAAACGACAGGCGATATTCCCCCCATCCCTATCCCCCTCCCCCGCACAACCATTCACCCTTCTATTCCGACCACTTCGCTGATCTCGCAGTTTATAATGATTGATTAAAAGAAAAAACTCAGACACACAAGGATATGGCCGTGAGAAGGGCGATGGGCGGTGGGCGTTGAATGTTAGTAGGTGGGCGATGGGCGTGGCCGGTTGCAGACGCCGCAGAAACCACACCTAAAAAAAATATATAAATTGTGTAATAATGGGTAAGGCCAGAGAGAAAGGAGCGGGGAAGCCGAGAGAAATGCAAGCCGAACAGCTGACAACTCTGTCAGGAGACACACACACACTCACCCACACACAGCCATACAGTCGACTGGAGAAATTGGTAACCCACACAGAGACATTGCTGCGACAATCACAAACAATTTAACCCAAGTCAAACGAGCGCACAAGTTGCTGCAAATTGACAAAGGCGTGAAAGGCAGGAAAGAGCGAGTGAAAATTATGGAGAGACACAGGGAGAGAAGGCGTCGGTGAGAAGCGTAGAGCAAATCGCTCGACGCGCGCAGGGAAATTCGCTCACAATCGCCCTTTTAAGTATGCAATCTTCTGTTGCCATTCCTACATTTCGCCTTATACAGTATGGACTCTATACAGTTAACATGCATTTTAAAGTAACTAATTTAATGGAAGCTTTTTAATTGTATATTTTGAATAAGAACATGGGATGCTATTTCTTTAATACTTTATGTTATATAAAAACAATTTAATTTAAACAAATTAATTAAAATCATTTTAAGATGACAAAAACTTTGCTTTCTATAACTTAGTTTTCTAGCAGAAACCTTCAACTAAATATAAAGTTTAATATAACTATTGGTTTACTAATATGAGCGCCCACTGTACTCCACTATAAGTCTAACCCAAGTCAAACAGCCACCCACCCACCGATGCAGTCAAGTGTAAATAGAAAATTTTCTTCGAGTGTATTGGTAGGTCACATCGCAATCGCTTGTTGTTTAGACAATTGAAATTAAGTACTCCACTTTCATGCATAATTCGCATGATTAACGAGGGTCGAAGTGGGTCGAAAAGGGGGCGGCGAGGTCCTTAGGTGGACAGCATCCACTTGACACAAGAGCCTTGTCGTGACAAGGCAAGCAGATCCCTTTGTTTGGCACTTATTTTGCTCGGGTTTTTCCTTATTTTCTGTGCTATCTGCTGATGATGCAGTCTCTAGTGCTCGGCAACCCGGGGGCGAAAAGCGAAAAGGATCTGGATGCATTTTCGAATTAAATTTAGCCAGCTCTTGTACCCTATTCCACTTATTCCCCTTTTTTCGCTGCCAGTATTCTTTAGCGTTTGCTAAATATAAACACCCCACCGGCATTGTTTTCCCTGCAATTGGAGCATGAATATTGGTTGCCTGGCTGTTTGTCCAGGATGGAAACAGAGCATCCCAAACAACCCAACGGTCCAGCCGCCACCCAAAGCAAACCCGCCCAGAACCTCTTCACAAAATCCCCCCCCTTTTTGTTGGTCGTACCAAAGTCCTGGTATCCCAGTGCACTAAGCTAGATTAAAGCCGATGTACAATCAAACAAACAATATTTACCAAGCCTTAAATTAAATTTCGCTTAGGGTTTGTTATTAGAAATTTTGAAAGGGATAAGTCAAATAATAAGATTAGGTACTTTTATAATTATATTCTATTTCTATCAGAGAACTTAATCTTATTATAGGAAAACTTTTACTGACATCCTAAATCAATTGACTGAACAGAAACTTATAAACTTTTAATCCCAGCAAAGAGGCCTCCAAGTTATTGATTAAATATTACCAAAAGCTTTTGTTTATTATTTAATACCCCATTTGGGGAGTCGAATGGCCCAAAAGGGCGCAGCTTCTTACATCAGATAACCATAAAATTTTGATATTTAGCCCGACACGCCCAAAGTTATTGACCATTCAAGCGGCCCAATCATCCGCCCCCCTTTCTCATTGGCCAACAAGCGTGGGGAGTCCTGTTTCATGGGAAACAATAACGATAAACAGAGGCAGGCGATGTTCGCCAGGAGAACTTGGAAAGCGTCTTTATGCCACCAAGGAGCATCAATAGTTAAACATCAATTTGGCTTTGCGAGTGACGTCAAGCGGGGCCAGTTTCCACCTGCCTTCAGTTTCAACCTCCGTCGGTTATAAAATTTCACACAGCATAACAAAGAGAAATGCGGCAAGATGGGAATGCCATAAAGTTGCCACTCAGAGAAAGAATGCATGCAGCCCAAAAATATATATATTATTAAATATACATATTTGATTATATTAAAAAGTTATCTTAGGAGAGCAAAAAAAAAGTTAGTGAGGAATTTCAGAACTATTCTTCCAAAAGAAATGTATTACATTCTTCTGAGATTAAATTCCAACAATTTAATGGCACTTATACCTCTTTTTTCTCCGTGCAAAAGCGATATGGAATAAGCATGCAAAATGAGGCAGCCAAACGGACGTCATGTGCATATTCAATTCAAGGCCTACCCGTCATCCCAACATCCCACCATTCCACCATATTCCACCATATACCGCCATCCAATCCCGAGCTCCTCACTAACACGGCGCTGATCCCCCGGCCACCCGAAAATGGGCTTTCTTGTTTGCTGAACTAACAATAATTTCATTAAGCCCAATGGCATCATTAAAATTTGCCCAACAATCATAATGGGGCCAGCCAGCGAGCGCACTGAGAACCGAATCTCCCAGAGGCGGCTGAAGGAACCTAAAAAACACAAAGAGCACAAAAAAAAAAAAAAAAAAACACAGTACAGAAACCGAACCCCAGGGTACCCGAAAAACAAAAAAAAAAAAAACAGTGGAAAAAAGTGGAAATTTGCTGATTTAACTTTAGCGAAGGAGGCGCAAACACACCTGGTACGAGTGAAAGCCTTCGGGCCAAAAAGAAACGAACAAGTTTAAATGGTAGGGCGACAGCTTGGCCAGCAAAACGCTTTCCACAAAAGAATAAAAGGAAATTGTTTCGCCCTGCAGCTTCTTGCTAGCCCACTGACTCACATTCTATACGCTATATGCTATATATGCGATGCCATATCCCAGTATGCATATGGAATGGATCCATCTCGTTTATATAGTATAGAAGTGGGTTTTGGCCAAGTTTTTGGACGACCAGACGGTCGCAGGAGTGCAAGCAACGCTTGATGAAGTGCAAATGCCTGGGGTCAAGTTTAGGGTGGGGATACTCGCACACCATCACACCATCACTCGCACACACTGCCTCATTTTCCGCCTATGTGTGAGTGTGCGGTTTTGTTTGCCAGTGTCTGGCACACAGCAGCCAAAAATTGGCAAAAAAAAAAAGAAAAGCGTGATGCAGGAAAAACTGTAGAGGAGTCCACGAATATGGAAATCAATTCTTCGATTTTTCTTAGGAAAGTGGGGAGAACAAAATCTTTGAAAGAATTAAATGTAAGTCTACTTGAAGCATGTGACGAAGTTATGAATAAATATATTTTAAAAGTGGTCGATTTAATCAAGAAAATTTTAGAATATAAATTAAAAATTAAATTTCACAATTTAAAAATCTAAATTAACAAATCTTAAAAAAAGTTTTCATATTCTCTTTCAAATCGAAAATAATATTTTTGCTAAATATCATTATAAAAACTTTTATTAAAGCCTACTTCCCAATTTGTGAAACATACATATTAAAAGAAACACGGTCATAAAATCAAGTCATCTATATAACCCCCAAACTGCTTTACTTCTTAAAGGTTACACACGTATAAAGTTTGTACTTCATTAGCAGCCTCGAAACTTTCATTGAAGTAACATTCACAAATTTATGTTAATCATTCACGTCCTTAGCCTTTTCGCCTTCCTGTTTTTCCACCCCCTTCTCTCCAAGGAAATTGTATGGCAACTAATCAGAAATGTACGACAACTTCGGCAGAACAGTCAAAAAATATTGCCCAGGGGCAATTGATTTTTTTCCGTAAGATTTTCGGGTCTTGCCGACGACCGAACAAGAAGGTTGAAGAAAATAATTGCATGGAATTATGTTGTTCACTGATTTGTACTTTTTTTTTCGTCGACTTCCAAACTTCGATTATTTTCTGTTTGCTTTTGTTAATTCACACCGCAGAAACTCGTTGTGCTGTTAGCTGTGCAAATCCATGTATATTTGTATATGTATAATTATGTATTTGTTTGTGGAGCCCGAAAGTTGTATCTTTTGAATCCGAAATCCGCACGGCACTTCCACACAGGCGAGCGGCCAACGCGCGAGTGAAATGCCGATGCAGAGAAGTATGCTAGGGAAATTTTCAAGGGAGAGCGTAGCTGAGAGCAGGGAGAGAGTGTCAGGTGACGCACACTGCTCTTCTCGTTCCGCAGGGAATAATATCCTTTATTTTCGAGGAGAGAGCGCAAATAAAAGCCGCAGACCGGCGCTTTGAAGCATTGCCAGCCAGGATTCAATGGATGGTAATACCTTTTCTTTTGGCTCAGCTGTTTTTTGTGGCAACTGGGGAAATGCTCTCTCTCGCTCTCTCACTCTGCTCGTGGCCATTGCTATCTCGCTCTCGGGTAATGGCATCTTGTGTATCGACCTTATGGACTTCAAAAAAAGTTCTCGGACCTGGACAAAAGTTTTTTCTATACACATGAGTGTGTGTCTGTGTGTGCTGGACAGCGTTGCCATATTGCAGGCGCATAAATTATAACGGTAGCGTAGAGATTCTAGGTTTTTGTTTTGTTTTGTTTCGGGGGAGGCAGAGGTTTGTTGGCCGGAGATGAAGCCGGAAGGTAAACGAAAAATCCTACAAAAACATACACTTGTACCATAACATGGAAACGAGTTTCGAAAAAAAAAGAGAAACAACAACAGAGAAGTTGAAACAAGGGCTTGAAAATATGCAAAACACACATACAGACAGCCATTTACTAATCAACACAACAACAATAACCACACAAACAGAAAACATGTTCGGCATACAAACACACAGACAGGACATCCTAACATATGCAGGAGTGCGTGTAACGGTAACGTAATACCTTGACAATGTCCTTCTCCCTCTCACTCACACAGACAAACAATCGCAGGGACATACGCACACAGAATGCTTTTAATACATTTTAAGCCGCATTTTTTCACACGTGGCTACATAACAACAAGGAGGCAAAAAAAAAAAAAAACAGTTGCAACACTATATAGTGTCTCGACCAAAAAATGACCTGTTCCCCGAATTGTAGTACAAATTATAGCATACTTTCTGGCGGTTAAATAGCTAAAATCTTTACCAGTATTTATAGTCACTATTTTTATTCAGAGTAAAATTTGGTATCCTTGGCCAAAAATATATTCATTTCCTTCAAGCTTTGCCACAACAAGTAGTCTTAATATTGTATGGATGTTCCTTTAAGCTTTCCAACTCGCACAATATACCTTTTTATGAGTACCGCGTATAGCAGCAACTAACATGTTGTCCCTACACACATTTCTTTTTTCTTCCTCATATATGTACATAGATATGGGAGGGGTGGAATGGCCACAAAATATCAGGAAGCCTGGTCTCCAGCACAAAAACAAAGCCGCATAAAAAGGGAAGCGGAAACTGTAACACCCCCTCCATGAAACCCCTTGCCCCGACAAACTTTGTTTAGTGCGACTGGCAGTTATCATATCTGCCGGGCCGTTAGTTGCCTTTATTTTTTTTGTTTTCCAGAGCCGGGTTCGGAAAAACAGAATGACCACAGGTATGGGATGCCCAAGGATAATGCGGATAACTCGGAAAATGTAAGTGAGCTCTGGATTCCGGAGAATTCCCTTTAAGGGTTATTTGTTTTCAGCAATCTTCACACATGAAAAAGCAATATAAACTTAACACCTTCAATTGTAATAGCAAGTTTAACAATATCTTATAAAAAAAAAAGTATAATACAAAAATGTTGAAAGTCCTAAAGTCAAATTTCTCAACTTAGACAGAGTGTATTTCTTGTTCATTATACTTTAGCCACAGGCCCACCTTTTTTGGTAATTTACTGTGCGAAAGGGTTTTGTGTTTGTCATTTGCCGAACGAATGTGGTAAGTGAAACCTTTTTGTTGTTGTGGCAAGCATAATTAAGCACAAAACTCGCATGGGAGTGTGTTTGAGTGAGATCGCCGAAAACCACACAACAGGAAAATTAAAACTCCAAAAAAAAAAAAAAGTGGCAAAAACTTAAACCCACACGATGCAAACAATTTAATTATAATGAATTATAAATGAGCCCGGCGAGCAAAGATCCAAGCAGAATTTATATGCAAATAAGTCGGAGGCAGGGAAAAGTAAACAAAAACGTAGAAGAACACCGCTAGCCTGAGGCAATTGCCATAAGACCTGGGATTCTCAAGTATGTGCGTCTGTGTACGGGTTAATTAATATTTTATGTTATTAACTCGAGTGGATGCTGCTGCTGCCGTTGGAAGCCGGGAAAACAGAGAGCCAGCCGAGAAGCTCACGAGGAAAACTCAAGTTTATTGAGCTAATAAGATGTGCTGCACTGCCACATTGTTTAATCAGGCTTAAATGTTTATGGGCTTGGTTAAATATTGGAAGCTGCGCGGGGATGTGATGGCTAATTAATTTACTACTGCCTATTTTGCGGCAGCAGCAGAAAATCAATTGACAACTTTGAGGAATTAATAACAAGCCAACAACTTTGCCTAAATGAAAATAAATAAGATAATGTATCTTTAAGTAGACGACTGATATAAATAATTCTTATATAAGTTAAGCTTTACTTTTGATAAGGTAAGTAACTGACCCTATTAGATAAGTTTCTTCATATCACCCTTAAAATAGTAAAATTTGTGACTGAAGTGATTAACTGTTTCAACCTAAAAACAAAACGTGACTTAAAATTAATATGATTTAGTTTATATTAAATGAAGTTAAACTCACCATGAATGACTAATTGAGAATCGTAGTTCATTTCGTAGAGTCGTATGGCCTCGTCAAGTTCCATTTTCGTTGATATAGTGCAGGGATCATTTTCCTCATCTACCCATTTTATAGTAAAAGGCTAGAATAACAAAGACCTATAATAGTTGATAATTTAAAAAAAAACTTTTTTTTTACTGTTACCTGATCTAATGAGAACCGACAAATGTTGCGGATCTCGTAGCAAAGCTCCTCGTACGAAATATTCTTGTTGACGGTGGTGATGATGATCTGCCCGTTGTAGGCAGTCTTCACCGTAATGCTATTGGGCGTATTAGCCATATTCATATTGCCGCTATTCAAGCTGACGCTGCTGCCGTCGTTTAGAATTTGGGAGGGCATTTTCTGCATTTGCTAGCAGGCTAAAATGATTTGATAACACGTAACACACAGAGACAAACGGTTTGATAACGAAAAACTGCAAAAATAGGAGATACAAATAAGAGATTAGGTTAGGTTTGAAAAGGGGTATTTTAAAAAGGAGGAGATTAAATGAACTTTTAAACCATAATATTGAGAGTACATCTTAATGTGTTTTATTTAGTAGAAGGAAATACAACTATAAAGAGCTCTATACAAAATTGAAATTTTTTCGTGCAACTATCTCTCGTTTGCTTGCATTTAGTTTAAAATAGTATATAAATAGTATCACTGTGTACCAAACCTACATTTAAATAAAGCAAATTAAACTTATCGAGGTAATGACTAGATAAAGAGAATCATTTCGAATTTACTGTGGAACCGGTTTTTCAGTAGCAATCTTTTCTATACCATCAACCTATTTTGCGCTCTTTTTGTAGTCGTATCTTAAAGTTTCCATTTTATATAAATAGATAAAATTTTAAGAATTCCAAGCTAACTTATTCCGCTCTCACATTCTCTCTTTCTCTTTGAAATCCAATTTGAAATCCCGCCCAAAACGAAATGTCAACTTTGACATTTGGGGCACGAACATACAAACAAAGCGAACTGCATGCCACAGGTAGTTGTTGTTGTTGCTGCTGCGCCAAATGCGGAGGCAAACACAAAACGAAGAAGACAAAACAAACTTAAGTGAATCATGCAAACGCCCACAAAACAATAAAAGAAGAAAAGTAAGTGGAATTAGCACGACAAAGCGAGTGTGCAAATTTATTTTTACTCGTGTCCTCTCTATTTTTCCCCTATTTACTTGGCATCCAAGTGATTTAGTGGTTGAGCGTAATTAATGCCGTACGTTGACCAAGGTAACTGTTAAAGTACCAGTTGGCAACAACAACAGTGCAACAAATGAGAGGTTAAGAGAGCGGGGGTAAAGGAGAGAGCGGCAGAGTCGACAACCTGTTTTACTCATTAGCATTTTTCAATTAGGACGCCGCTTTTTAAAATTAAGCTCTTTAATCTTAATTTAGTTTTTGACTCACACTAGTTTTTGGAGTTTGTTTAACCACAAAAAATACGCACAGAACGCCGCACAAAAACACTGAGAGGACAATTAAACAACACGAAACATTTAAATTAAAGCCAATCAGGGCGCCGCATACATTTCAATTAAATCACTGGCACTCGCTCACTTTAAATTAATTGTTATGGCTTAAACAAATTAAAACTAACATTGCTGTTCTCCGTTTATTCCGTTTTGGAAGGAGAGCACAAAGCGGAGAACACAAAAGTGACAGCACGGAAAATACCGAAATAAGTGTTGTAAGGTATACCGAAATAGTAATTACCCAATACTATTAAGCTGGGTATTTTAATACCACGGAGATGGTATTTCGGCCATCTGTGGTGTGTGCACTCGATAACCCAGTCTTTCTTAGGAAAATCATTTTTTCAGTGTTTTCAAAAGACTTCCCTGAGGCCACACTAAGTTTTGTTTTTGTTTTACCGCCGTTCGGACGCTTGTCGCGGAAACTCGTCCAACCGTCGTTAGTTTTAAAAAGCGATATAATAAATTATCACAAATATAATAACCAACAAAAGTGTCTATTAATAGTTAAAAATAAAAGGTGCTAAGAATATCAAAACAGTTTAGAAAAAAAAACCTGAAAATTACCACGAAAGAAAATGGCGGCTCAGCAAACAATAATGAGCAGTCGCACCAGCAACAACTAAGCAAGAAATTCAGCTTAAAAGAAACCAACGGAAAAAAACGTCAACATTTTCGTCTGCCCGAAATTAATCTGGTTTTTATGTTTTACTCGCGCGTCGCAGACATAAAATAAAGACAACAACAAACAGAAAGTGCTGATGTGTGTGTGCGTTTTATGTCGTTTGTTTGTCTCCTGTTTTTGTGGAAAAGGCCATAAAAAACGTGAAATTCATTAAGCTACAAAAGCAACAATTACGAGCATTTTACATTGTTTACATTTTGTGTGCCAGCTTTCGTTACGCTAGTGATTTATGTGATTTGGTAGAAGAAAGGTGGGGAAGTGGAAACCTTAGTAAAAGTCTGGAAAATAGTAGTTTTAATTAGTAAGGTAAGTAATAACATTAGTTTTTTTTATTGTCTCCACATTTAAATTAGTTTTGCAAATGGCATTCTGCCTGAGCGGCAACTCGTTTTGTGTTTTTATTTTGATGCCGCCTTCGTCCTGTGCTGCCTGCGTCGACGTCGGCGTCGCCATCTGTCACTTTTGAGGGTTGCCAGCTGTTTCGCTGCGCCTTTTATTAAATGCGGCATCTTTAGCATCTGCAGGAAATTGGGATTCAAAAAAAGGAAACAAAAGGAAATGGAAAGGGGCATACAAAAACTGCAGCTGCAGCTGTTTAGGCTTATGTAATTAATAAACCAACACGTGTCTGGCATATCCAACGACACGTGACAACTCTAGTCGTGAAAGGTGGGGGAGCAATAATAATAAAGAATTTTATTTTATTGTGCTTGTTATTATTTTTACTCTTTTTGCTTAATAATCCCCTTTTTTAATTTAAAATCCAATGCCTGGAGCAGTTTTTTCCTTTGGTTGTTATGGCTCAGATTGCGCCATAAAACTCATATAAATCAATAGAAAGCGCAGCGTCAACACACACATACACATACCCACAAAAACCATAACTCACTTGCCATAATGTAAGGAGTGAGAGAGAGAAAGAGAGAGACCGCGCTCAATATGCAGAGATTTGTGTGGGAATCAAATGACTTGATGTCGTTGTCTCCAATGAAGTGTTAGAATAACGGTGGGTGGAGGGGTTGGTGGTAATAGCTCCACCAAGAGATTACAACGCGAGAGAGAAAGAGAGAAAAACAGCAGCTGCGCGTTTCTCAAATAAAGTTGCCGCAACTCGATGGAGCCTCTCTCTGTCGCTGTCGTACTCCCCAAGTGGCTCCCCTCTCTATATTTCTCTTATTGGCTTGTGCGGCATGAAAAGTGGTTGTGCTGCCTTGGTGTGTGCTTGTGTGCCTCGGTTTGTTTGTCTTTTCTGTGGCATTCAGCGCACAGTGGGTCAGATAAGGAGATTATCAATTGTTATACCCACTCCTCTTTGAAATTTAAGTAATCCAAGTAAAATAATCTGAAAATGGCTTCTACACACTAAGTACTTCTAGAAATGTGGAAAAGCTTTGGTTTATTTTAAACTGCACACAGTATCTTCTTGAAGGTAACTGAAAAAGACTTCACCAACGTTAGCTTATGTATCTCATAGGTCGTTGAAACCGTAATGTTTCTCGACTAAAGATACTTATTGTTAAGGCTCCACTGTGCCGAGTGCATTTCCATCGTTGCCAATGGCAACCACTTTAGGGAATAAAGCCTGTGCCTGCTTATTGAAGCTACGCTTTGTTTTCCCATTTCTCTTTCCCCTTCTTCTTTCCCCCAGCCCTCTTTCATTCATTTATTAACTAACTAATTTGCCAGGCCCGAAACAAATTGCCCAGTGGAATTGTTATTGTTTCAATTGCAACAAATTGGCCGCTGAGAAAAATGGATTTCTCTCCTTCAGAGAGGGGAAAAAACAAGTTGCGCACTCGCTCTCTTTGGGGCTCCCTCTCTGTGCTCTCTTTGTCGCTCTCCTGCAACTTCGAGGACTCCGGACTCCAATTGGATTTTACGGACCTGGCTTTAACGCTCGAATGCTGGAGCCGCGTTTCAATACGCTTTTGCTTGCGGTCGTCGGCGCTTCTCTTTTTTCGGGCTCCTCTCGCTCGAGTCTCCGATTCTCCAATTCTCAACATACAGCTACTTTTCTGCTCGGTATACGCTCGCGTGCGTGTGTGTGTGTTGGTGTTAACGTAAAAAGAAATTTTTGCACAGCATTTTTCGTATGAAAAATCAATTGCTATTTGAGTGAAATCCCCAGTTTATGTGCATTTCCAGTGTCATCATAAGATTTTCGTAGAAATCCGAAAGAAATTCATCGTTTTACCATGGTAATTTACATATTTTTTGCACAGTTGTTCTGCAAAATCCTACGCATGTGTGTGACTGTGTGTGTGACTACGCTTCGTGGTGTGTGTGTGCGTAGTAGTAAGCCGCATACGATTTTTCGCCGAAAAAATTGGTAGGCGGTGGGCGGGGCAGAGGCAAGTGGCTCAAAAAACGTCTCAAAAAGTTCAATGTAGCTGTAAAACGCTGAGCACTGCCCTCCATTATTCATGGCTACACCGAAAAAATGAGAATCTTAGACAAGTTAATGAGGGAAAAGGTCAAGAAATTTGTATGAGGTGAATAGGTTTTATAATACCTTGATACCCCTAATAAATATTTGGTTATAGTACCCAAAAACTACTTGATTTACTACCGAAAAAGTTGACTTGACTTAAATTTAATAAGAAGATATAAATGATTTGCCTACTAATACAGTACTACCTTCTTGCTTATTTTTTATTTAAAGTGGAGTAGTTAAAGCTTACTCGAGAAGATTTAAACTTTTCCTGAGTAGTAGTTCCTCAGATCATGTCTGCTGACATTATAAATATCTAATCAGACATGAAATGTATCCACATTTTTTCTGTGTACCTCCTACTTGTCTCCCCCCGCCCCCTTGGCCCTCCTCTTGCCTTTCTTCTTCATGTCTTGTAACTGCTTTTGTCTGCACTCATTGCTCGCCTTACAACTTGTTTGCCCCTTTCTTCTTGACCAAAAAAGAAAAAAAAAAAACCAAGACAGAAAAAATACAAAAAGAAGGAATTGATGGCCGCTTTTGGTACGACTTCGAGTATATTTCTCTACGTGCCTGTCCGCCGTATTTGGTCCGTCTCGGTTTTCTGTCTTTATTTCTCCTGTACTGTATACTACTCGTACAGTATACTATATGCCATATGCGCAACGCAATGTCGTCTTCGTTTGCATTAACCGTTAAACTGCACGTAAGTTATCCGTCCGTCGGTCGGTGTGTCCACTTGTACACCCGCCCGCCCACACTTTTGACACATCTTCAGTGCAGCGTTTTCCTCCTACGAGCTTTATTCCCAACCGCTCCTCCAAAACATCCATCGGCCACAAATGGGTACTACGAGGTATATCGGATCGGGGGTTATGGGTTATGCGTGGAATTCGGAGCGTGATTAATGGAACGGGGTGGGATCCCTCCTCTAATGGAATATGTTCGCCTAATTTGGCCATTGCCATTGAACATGTGCGTTATTGATTTTGGTATGGGTTGGGGGGCCGCCATTATCAACCATCAATTATTCATGGGCCGTTTTCGAAGAAGATGAACTTTGCAAATGGCTGATAATTGCAAAGGATATATTGTAAATACCATTTGATGGGACCAATCAAGCAAATTAAAAAAGTATGCATTGCAAAGGCTTTGAACTCAAATTGGCTATAATTGAACAAAGCAATTGCTGGGAATATTCAATTCCTTTCCTTGCAGGATCTTAATTATAGTATCCTTTGGTAGTTCCGGGAAATCAATTATGTGTTGATTCAAGAAATTCTATACACAATGTGTTTCTTCGATTCATTCCTTTTGACTTTGGGTTTTCAAAGAAAGCTGAATCATTCCTTTTTCCAGGGTAGCAGTACAGCTCCCTCAATGCTCCTTATTGCAGTTCGCTTCATATAGCTGTTATGGCGCTGTTTTTGCCTGTTCTTGGCGTTTGCCTGAAACCTGAAACAAAACGCAGAGACAATGCACGAGCAGCAGCAACAACAACAACAGCATCAACAACAACAACAGCATCAACAACAACAACAGCATCAACAACAACAACAGCATCAACAACAACAACAGCGACAACTCCCTTTACAGGCAAAACAAGTTTTGGCCGCCTCTGGCCATTTATTGTTGTTGGGAAGTTCGGAGTTTGGAGTTGTGGTTGCTGCTTGTCTCTGCGCTTTGCAAGATCAACATCTCGAGCTGAGCTATCGACAGGCTTTGTGGCAAAGAGATGGTGAAGCTTTCAGGCGGCAGGGAATCACGGAGCAGGCAGCCAGAAAGCAGCATCATCGACACCATCTTTTGTGCGCTTGTTGGTTTGCCTGTTTTCGCTCCACGTTTATTGTGGTTGCTGCTGCACAGCGGAAAAATAAATTAAAAAACCGCAAATTTCCATCAAAGCAATCATAATCGAATAAGGTATAATGGTTGTTTTAAGTCATCACATTTTCGAGGGGTTTAAATTGTATAAATGCATATGGTTTAAAATTTGAAATAAATAAGATAAATATATTTTTAATAAATATTATATTAAGTATGACATCATATCATACAACATCATTTCATAATTTTTTTATCAGTTGGTACGTATTTGATCCTAATACCTTTTCGAACTGGAAGATGTTTCAAGACTATTTTTCTCCCTGTACTTGTAGCTTTCTTTTGGGTTTTTTGTTGTTTGGCTTGACAAAATATTCTACTAAGTACAAAACCTTTTTCACTTGAGACTGGGGAGTGGTAAACACGAATAAAGTACGACCGAACTTTGTCCATTGCATTTCGGGCGAAATAAAGAAGAATAGGGGGCAGTCGACAAAAAAAAAAAAAAAAAAAAGGGAAAAAGCGAGTGAAAGAGTGAGAAAAAAACTTGTCATATGCAAAGCACCCGCAGCTGATAAATAAGAAGCAGAGTCGGCCAACCTTTTGTTGTCAATAATGAAGTGTTGGCCGACTGAAGTCCGGGCGGTGTGGGGGTGTGTTTTTCCGATAGGGGGACCTTCCTTTATCTATCTGGCTTAATGACACCAGCTCACACTCGCTGGCAGCGTTAATAAACATGAGATTGAGATGCGCCTCATTTGATGCCAACCTCCAGTGGGTCTCCACAAAACTCACATACATGTATACCGTACTAAATGCCAGCTGGTGGGTCCTCTGCGGGGGTGGGTTTATTCAGTGGGTGGTATGGGTGGTGTGTGGGTGGTGTGCCGCCAACTGAGCTGGCCGTTCTGGTGATAGATTGGCCGTGTTACCGTTTGCCATTTTATTGCGCTCCATTTGGCTGATTACTCATGCCAGTAAACTTTAACGGCTCTCGACAGCGACAAAAACGATATGAAAGAGAAGAAAACGAGCCACTAAATGGAGCGAATCTAGCGAAGATTAAATACGCTCTTCTCCACTCGATTTGGGATGGTTCGAGGGTTAGAGAATAGTAACTTTTAAGAACCAGCTTTAGAAGAAATATATCTTTGAGTAGTTTTAATTACTTCTCGAATTGATCTTAAGTTTTTATTGGTTTTACTTCTCAACAAGACTATTTTAATTACAGCAAAATAGTTATACATTTTTTAGTATAACACACAGGTTCTATTTTTGTTAATACTTTTTATAACTTCATTTTGTCCCATAGTTTCTATAGTTTTCAGTTACGGTGTTTCCCCGACAAAGAGTATACAGTTTGCGGTCAGTTCGTATCTGATTTATCTGAGATTCCCTTCCGCCCGCTCTTTTCGTATCTGTGAGCTTCAATGTGTTGAGAGCAGCACAGCAACACTGTTGTAAACATAATTATTTTTAGTTGCTCAGCGTTTTTGCTGCCAACTTCAAAACCGCAACTCCGCTTCATTGTACATCTATCAATACGTGTGTGTGTTGTGTATGTGTGTGTGAGTGTGTGACAATCAATAAATCTTTCAGCCTGTTGGCCCAGCAACCCACCACCCCCCTTTCGTCGACTACTTCCCCTTTGTATTTATGTATTTGCCAACACCCAAAAGGTCCCAAGCCTCCAATTGCATTTCCAATCAGTTTTTATGCTGCACACACAGTGAACACTCGCCAGGGGACAACCCCTGATACAATAGATTCAAAATTGATTTCGATTTTATATCCACACTTTTGAGCCAAAGCTGGCATTCGCCGGGCATGAAAGACAGGGCAAGTGTTATGCTCATTACGATTACTCACCACCCACGATACAGTTAATGCACTGAAAAAAATCTTAAATGACAAGTAAATTGATTGAAGATCTGTAGTTTTTCTTTCAAACAACATTTAGATAAATTTAGCTTGTTATGACTTACTATTATAATTATAATATTAATATTCTTTTCTTTGATATGTTAACCAAATTACGTTTTATTTTTTTCGGTATATACATATTGCTGCCCCGCAACCTTTCCCCTTTAATTCGGAGTGCGGGCTGTGTGCCTGTTTCATGTTTGCAATTAAACTTACAGCTCCTAACAACAATGGTGGCTCATAAAAATGGGATAACAAAAACGGGGTAAAAAAGACACAAAAATTTAAAAAGGAAAAAACTGCAATGCCGGCCGCATGAAACGGAACGGTTCAACAACATCTGGTGGTTGGTGGGTGGGTGGTATTTGGGCATTCGCCGGCGAAGGGTAGCAATGCAAGGGGGGTCGGTGGTGCAGTGGGTGGGTGCAGCTCGTGTGGGCGGCAAACACAACACAATACAGAGAAACCGCAACCCACATTTGCCGCTGCAGTTTGATATACTACCCTACTACGCGAAAACTCCAGCTCTCCATTCTCTCTCTCTCTTTATCTCGCGCTCTCTCTCTCTATCTCTGTTGGAGAGAGAATTCTCTCTTTCTCTTCGGGGGTTTTCGCAACGGTTGCAGTTTTTCCTTTTTTTCCGGCACGTCGCATACATAAAAATTCATTAAAAAGGCAGCTTGTAAATGAGATTTACTACTGCCACCGTTATGCGTTTTTTTAGTTTTTGTTACGTTTTTCCTGCATTTTCCACAACCCACACACTTTTTGGGGCGGTTGCTGGTTGGTTGGATGGTTGGTTTGGTGGGGCCACTCGGATTATGACACCTGGCGCTATGGTTTTTCACTCGCCGGCCGGGCAGCGAGTTTTCCAATCGAACAGGTGGCCTCCGAGTTTATCGATAGTCAGGCGCAAGCGGCAATTGCAGCCTTTTAAAATCTAAATTGCTTTTCTTTTTTTCGATTTTTTTTTTTTATTTTTGTATTGCACCCGGGACACTTACTTTGTAAGCGGGATTGCCAGGAAATTGCTGCTGCTGCAGCTTGGGCTGTTTTTTATTGTTTCCCCGTAAATCGGGTGGCTTTATTATTGCGCCGCCCTGCTGCTAATGACATGTTGAGGGCCTCGTTCGTGACTTTTCGCCAGATTTCGCTCGTCCGAGGTCTGCCCGTGCATTTTTCGAGTGTATTATGACGCTGGGCGACTAGACAGCAAAAGCAGCACCACCAGCTGCCCCACTTCTCTTCCTCTTCCACCCCGCCGCTGAGCCACAAAATGCAGTCAACGAACTTTGACACAGCTCGTGCCGCAGCCGCAACCAAAGTCATATCCAAAGCCCTCGCCCTTTCACAGGGTCTCTTTCGCCCCGTCTCGCTCTAGCGCTCTTCTGTTCCCGTTCTCTTGCCATCTCTGTCTGTCAGCTGCTTAGAACGCGTCTATGGGTGTTTGTTTTGGGGGCATCAAGGGCGTATCAGGCAGCCAGCTTGGGGATTTGGGTGAAATATAATGAAAATCAGTTTTAATTCGAATTCTATTGGTACATATATTATTCTTGAGTCGAATTTTAAGGATAAGGCTTTCATATCAACCATACAAAGTTTCTGCTTAATAAGCTAACTACTTTTCTACTCAAAAATGTTAAGAGATTTGAGTTGAAGAAGTTTTAAGATGTTATAACCCATACCAACCATTTCTTTAGATTTCATATCAATCTACTTTCAATCAACCGTTTTTCAATAAGAATTCAAAAATCCATAAAAATTCTATAGGGAGTTTATTAATGATTTCTTTAAGTATAATTTTAATTCGACTCAGAAATTTCATCCCAATCGATCAATATCTTAAATTTCGATGAAAGGGTAATTTCCCTGTCGCCACTTCTCCCTTTGACAGAATTTTTTTTGTGAATGAAATGTGTAACACGATGCAGTGAAGTAGATAAATGGGCAAAGGGAGGAAAATGGGACTGGGGCCCCAAAAAGATGAGGCTGGAGGCGAATTGGAGAACCCGTGGTGCAGTTTATTGACTCGCCGCCGCAACGCGAAGTAAACAAAGTTGTGAGCCCTATTTTTAGAGCCAGAACATCAAAACTGTCTATGACCAATTATGCAGATTTCTTGTTTTCTGGCACACACATCTGGCGGACACATTTGCCTTGCCAACTGCACAACTGATTTCTAACATCTCTCTGTGTTTTCTTTTCTTTTTGTGCTTTTTTTTCGAACAGGAGTTGGTGAAGATACGGCCCCGGCGGCCAGTAGAGGGCCATAATAATCATGCATCGTTCGCTGAAGCCGCATGCATCCACCGCACAGGCTAAGAAGGTGCAACCGCCGACGATACCAGGCGACTCCCCTCAGGACTTGCATCATTATCAGCAGTTCCAACCGCAACAGCAGCAGCACCACCATCACCCGCACCACCAGCCGCTGATACCGCTCTACCGGCTGAGCGGACCGCTGCGTCATCACCAGAATCAGCAGGCGGACGATGGGATCAGCATGAGTGGCAGCAGCATCGTTTCGTCGCCCTCGCTGGAGGAGGGTGGCTTCAACCTGCCCCGGGAGACGAGTGTGGCCCTGCGGCTCAAGGATGAGGTGGGTGGTGGCAGTTCGGCGGTGGCCCCGCCTGCAGGTGCAGGAGGAGTGGGTGGAGCAGCGGTGGGAGCAGCGCCACCGGGAGCGGGAAAACCCGGAGTTACGATGGTGCCGCCACCGCCCGTTTTTTGTGCCACGCTGCGCGAACCGCTGACCCACAAGGCGGCTGTCTACTACCACCAGCAGCTGGCCTTGCAGGAGGATCAGGGCATCGATCTTACCCAGTCACCTGGCAGGGACTCGCCGGGTTCATCCTCGGGTTCCGCTGGCTCCGGGTCGCGTCACAGCACCGCCAGCTTGGACTCGGGACGGGCATCCTCCTACCTGACTGGAGTTTCCTCCTCGGGCGCCTCCATTCGCGCGCCGCTTTCCTCGCCGCGCTGCAGTTCCGTCAGCTCCTGCTCCATTGGAAGTGTGGATCGGCAGCGAAATGATGAGCTGATCATCGACTGGCTGCTGGAGATGAAGCACGAGGAGTACGCCCAGCTGTTCATCGCCGCGGGCTACGATCTGCCCACCATTGCGAGGATGACGCCGGAGGATCTCACCGCCATTGGCATCAAGAATCCGCATCATCGGGAGCGCATCAAGCTGCGGATCGACAAGCTTCAGGTGCTCGACAACTTGCCGCATTTTGTGCCGGTAAGTAATGGTTTATTTAAATAATCATAAATTATTATTAAAGGGAAATTAGAAAATTAACTGAAACTGGGAACGAACTTTATTTTTCTGCAATAAAGACTAGAGTTCCGGAGAAAATATCTCTATTTGTTAGCACGCCCGCAAATATTTGACTATCTAATCAGTTGAAAACCAGTTCAACTCGTGATGCACTAAAGTAAAGTACAGTAGAGACTTTTAAAAGGAAAATAACCCAAGATTTAAAATGAAAAATCTATAACTCATATGGACTATAAATAGTAGATGGGTTATAAATCAAACTATAGTAACTATATTTAATGGCTTGAATGAAATTTAGCAAACTGGTATTTAAAATGATAATTACTTTTTTCCCAAGCTCTAAAATCGGATAATGATGAACAAAAAAGTAGTTAATGAATCGATATAAAAGGAAATGGCTTATTACGATCAAGTTTGAATACAATAAAGATTAAAAACGCAGAGATATAGCTGCTATTACCCTGATCAACTACTGTGAATGTTGGCCTGCAATCACGTAGAGCAGCTTACTTAGTCATTGTTAACACAGATAGAGGCACACACACATATGCACACACTCACACATCGACTAGCTTGGCAAATTGCCATATTGGCATTAATTGCGACCGGCAACACCCTTTTCTCTCTCGCTTGTCGCTGTTTCCACTGTTTGCTTGTTTAGTTACCGGCTTATCTTTTCTATTTCATTAAATAAGCATTTGCAAAAATCAAAAAGAAAAAAACAGTGAAAGAGTGAAAGAGAAAGAGCAACAGCAGCAGCAGGGGAAATAAACTTGTTTCCCACATGCGAAGGAGAAAAAGAGAACTTGAAACAGTGTGCCGTCAGCGAATTTTTTTTGTTAAGTTTATTGTTAATGAAAGAATTTCATTTAATATGCGCACATTAATTCCCATCAACAATTCATTAAAAACACGCCGAGCGGAGTGAATAAATATACATATAAAAATTAAAAGTCCATTCGTGCGGATATGTTATGTTATTTTATCTGTGGTGACATTAAGTTGAACTTGGAATAGCAGCAGGCAGCCAGGCAACCAGGCAACCTGCTCCATCGCGGATAATTGCTCTCCGGATCGAAGCCGATCATTAGCCAATCGATCTGACAGATCAAGGTTCCACCTGAATGACTAAGATGATGGCCAACAATGCTCATGGAGTGAAATTCCATTCAAAGTCGAGTTTCAGCTTCGGAAATAATTGATTTGAATGGATTATATGAGGGGTGAACAAACTGTTTGGTCTAAGAAATTCACAATCAGATAAAATTCGCATTGAATTTGCTAAACTTCCGCTGAGGGATTTAAGATTTGCATTATTATTTTCAAGTTTTAAATATCCGGTAAACTCAATAATAAGTGGCTCATTTTGTTTCCCACACTTTTGCTATATATTTTAAGTTCGTGGTCTAAAATCGATCACTTTAAACTTCCGCCAAAAAAAGCATTTTGATTATTTAAGCAACTTACCTTCTCCATTTAACTGCACTACAGTTCGTACGAAAAGTACGTGACTTACAAAATGCAACCAGCTGAGCTCTTATCAATATGCATTTCACGTTTAGCCCTAAACAACGCTTTCAAGTCGAATGACTAACCCCGAATAAAATCAAGACGATGAGAGGCAAAAAAAAAAAAGAAGTTTGTATCACCGAAAATCGGTTCAAAGTTTTTCAGTTTGACCAACATAAATATTCGAAATTTTAAGCTCCGCTTTGAAACTAATTCAAGTCAATGTTGTGCCTAAGAAAAATGCTCCAAATGCCTCCATAAATTACCATTAATTGTTTGGCTTGGCCATAGCATCCACTTTGGGAAATATGAGTTCCACATTCACACCAAGCATTCCGGAGCCGATTAACACCCATTGGCCATAATCTTCAACTTCAACTGCAACTTCGTCGACTGATTCATTCCATCAGCAGCCTGCACATGCATATATATATATTTTTTTTTAAGTATATGGCTGTTTAACTGCATTCCCCGCCCACTCGGCTGTATTGCAACCCACCTGCCAAGTCAGCGAGTACAGAAAATATCATTTATCGCCATTATCGATCATTTCGACGGACTCGAAACTCAAACTCAAACTTGTGCCACATTCCGTTCGAATTCGGTTAATTGCTAGTTTTTCCCCATCTAATAACCTCCATTTTTAGTGTTTCATTATCGCACCGCCTCGAATCTGTTCAAACTTCAAGCGATTCGCTTTGCTCTTTGGCTGCAATTTTTCAAAATCAGAAATGACCTCAGCTTTTGTTTTTCTCCGCTGTGTTTTTTCGTTTTCGCTCCACAGACGGTTTTGTATTTCAGCTGAAAAATGCGCCATAATATTTTACTAGCTGTGTAGAATTTTGCGCATTTTGTTGGTTAGCATTCTTATTTTCTGTTTATATAACGCGCCGTGACTGTTTTCGCAAAGTTGGCCAAGTTCTGTGGTCGAGTTACCGGCATTGTTGTCGCTCTTTATCGCCCCATTCGACATTTCTTATTTGTTGATCTCGACGGAGACGACGACGGCTTTTGTCTTTTAAGGTGCGGTTGCGGGTGTTTAAACACTGGCAAATTTGTTCATATTGTTCGGTTGTTGATTATATCTTTTAACCGAACGAAATAATCCAGGCTTGAGAAATAAGGAAACAAAGTTTGAAATCGATTTGGGGGTTTAAAATGGTTAAATTAATAGAAAGATTGAGTGGATTCTTAAGATATAAAGTATGTAGCAAGCAAATCTTCAATCTGAAGACCAAAGATATATTTTTTAAATTATTTATTAGAATTAGAATATTAGAATTAGAATCAAAGGGAGTTCTATAAATCTCTCATTCGAAACCTTTTATAAGCTATCACAATTAAGTATAGGAATAGCGCATGTATTATGATATGTACTATCAGATTGTATATGATATTTTTCCCCTGTGTAGCCATACTTACATCACCCATAACTCGGGGGAAAAACAGAGCTCATTGGCTCATTAGCCAACATTCTACAGCAGCCGCAGCGCTTTCTTTTTTTCGCACACATCTTTATCGCGGCGAAAAAGGAAATAAAGCGAAATACCTTAAAGGCGAGCGCGGGAAGGAAAAGGTTATTAAACGCTCGACAATCTCCGTTTGGAGCCCGCAATCAACGAACGACCTTGAGGGTCATAAGGCGCTGATGTTGGCTTATTTTTTTTTCTACTTTTCACAGAGTCCGTTAGCGGACTCTAAAATGGTATTAGGTTTTCGACCTGACGCATATGCTTCAACTTTGTTTTTTTTCCCTTGTTTTTTTATTTTTGTCTTTTGGTCACCGATTTGCTTTTGAAAAACCTGTTTTTTTTTCGCCTGCTCTAATGATGGCTGCCGCTGCTGTTTAGTGTCATACCATATGCTACCTGCTAATGGATTTCAGAGAAGCGAACTCCAAGTGAAGCCACTGAGGAGCACCAAAAACAAAATTGTTATTTAGATAAATATTTTGTTAAAGTTTTAGTCAAATTTATATGTGTCGTGCCTGCTGGAGATCTTCGGATGGAGGATTTCGATTAGCATATGGGCTTTTCAGAGTTGCGGGTCTATTGGAATTGCTGTTTTGGTGTGACATTCACTTTGGAGTTGCGAGGCATACATTAAAATACTCTTCGGAGTGGCATTCCCCAGTAGAGAGTTCTCTAAAAATAACAAGTGAACAACGAAGCTCAAGATCACAGTTAAATATATTCATATTTATTTTACAGGGAGTGGGATTTTATTTTTGAGGGGTTTCCATGTTGAAATGGGTGTTAACTATGACATATCAATATGACATTGGAAAATATTAGAAGTACATTTTTAAAAATCACGTACTAGTTACCTTTAAAATCAATACATTTTTATATAACTAAAATGCCAAGGAAATTTTTAGAAAACTTACTATTCACGTAGTAAGTTAATTGGATTATGGATTTGGGGGTTGAAAAAGACCTACATAAATTTTCAATGTGACATTTCTTTTTACAAACATTCTACTTGCATTAAAAGTAAAATAATTTAAATATGTTTCATATAGGAAACATATATTCTTCAAAAATCCCATGATATTCCCTGATTGTTTTTCCCATACATTCGTTCAATTAAACGCTTTCAATAAAGTTTTCCAATCGGGAGACTCTCCCAGCAATCACATCATATTTCGCCGAAGACAAGACGTTTAATTAAATTGAAATCAACAGCAATTTAGGTGCCGAAAGAGCAGACAGTCGTGGAGCTTCCAAAAAACTGATTAACACATCGTGTACATTTAAGCATAAAGTATGAAAAAGTGGCTTTACACGCACTGAAGTTAACGATTTTCCACTGCAACGTGTGTATATCGTTGTGTGTAGATATATATACGGGAATATAGCAACTTTTTGGTTGCAAGTCGAGCTAGCCTGCTACCGTTTAATGACGACAGCAACGAGTTTTGGCTTTTATTCGTTATTCGTTTCGTTATGCCTGTGCTTTGACGCGATTTATGTCATATCTTATCAATTACAACTGATTAGAGCGACGGGTAGGCTCATCACGAGAGACAGCCTTACATACTTACATATGGTATATGTAACCCAGGCCAACCCAACTCAACCCAATCCGATTCCCCTTTATCAGCGGGGTCTGAACTAGTTCATGGACAATTTGTATTCTCGGCTGATCTCTGTGTGTTCCCTGTTCTCTGACATGAATCAAATGCGATTAGCCAGCTAGCTGTTCGGCCTGGCTACCATAAAATCTAATGATAATGACGTCTCAATCTGAATCTCCCCCCGCTTCTTCGTACTTTTCCAGGGATCGATTGAGGAGTGGCTGCAGCTGTTGCGTCTGGAGGAGTACATTCAGCCGTTGCTGGAGCAGAACTACAAGACGGTGCGCGACGTTACCCAAGTGACTTGGGAGGATCTCGAGGACATTGGCATTGTCAAGCTGGGCCACCAGAAGAAAATCCTGCTGGCCATCAAGCGTGTGAAGGACATCATTAGCGGCAAGTGGAATCCAGGCGGTGCAAATGCGTACCAACAGCAGGTGAGGAAATGTGAAGGATACACACTACACACTCGTGTGAAAGACAAGGTCTTGAATGTTGTTCTATGGCCCAAAGAAATGAAAGAGGGGTTCTGCAAGGCCAGTACCATGTATTTATATGAGATAAAGTTACATTTACCTTGTATTTAAATGAGATAAAGTCACATGATAAAGTATAAATGGAAATGCCATTTTCTAGTTAAAATAATTATATTTTAATCATTTGTTACCTTATACAAATTTCTTTTTATTGTAACCTAATATCCTAAATTCCTGGTTTTACCTTGATTTCTTTTTAATTTTCCACTAATTTGATTTTCGTTTCTGTTTCTCCTTGTTTTGTATGATTTCCCCAACCCAAATCAGGAGTACCAGCGGAAGCCCTGGCAATTCAATGTGCCCATACCCAGTACGCCATCCTATGTGCCAACCACTCGCGTCTCCTGGGACGACACGAAAATCTACGCCACCGCCAGCAGTGTGCTGAATGCCACTGCCCCGCCGGGGAGCAGCTGCCTCAACAGCAGCAGCCTCGCCAACGGAGACGCCTACTACTGCACGGGCAGCAACCATTGCTCCGGCAACGATGTGGTGCTCATTAAGGTGGGCACTCGGTCCTCGAAAGTTGAGGAGCTCAACAGCCAGCGCGTTGGCCTTGAACTTTCAAGCACCTCCTCAAATCCTAGCAAAAGAAAATTCCAGAAGCAATCAATTTGATTAATTTGATTTTGATTTTGTATTATGTACATTATATTATATTTTTCTTGTTCAAAATAGTTTCCTTAAAAGAAAGTTAACTTCTGTTGCTATAAATCCTTCAAGTTATTTAATTTTAAAGGGCATGATTTCATCTGCTCAGATATTTTAGCTAATTAACTTGAATCACCCTAATAATGAGCCTTTCTTTCTGCTTAACAGGTGCGCCAGCCACGCGGCAAGAGCCTGGAATCGCTGGAGGACATCCACGACAACAGCACGCGCAGCCATTTGACCTTCAGCCATTACACGACCACGGACTACGGCCACTTTGGGCCGCCCACAACGGCGGCTGCCGCAGCAGCGATGGCCGCAGCTGCCACGCTGCAGCAGCAACAGCATCACCACCAACAGCTGCTCCACCAGCAACAGCAGCAGGCGGCTGCCGCCCGTCTGCTGGGTGGCAATCCTCCGGGAATTGGTTGGCGGCGATCCTACGACGACGGCGACATCACTCCCACCAACGATGCCACGCGGGAGATGCTCTACGAGCAGGAGGGAGGTGGCACCCTTCCGCGCCAGCAGCGAGGAATCCTGCAGCGAGCGGTGCTGAACACAATGCCGCCATTGGAGCACCACCACTACATGAACGCGGCTGCGGCAGCGGAGTACGGAGCAGCCGGTGGAGTGGAGGGAGGAGCGGTGAGTTGATCCTCTATTATAGATAGTTTACAGTTGCCAAAATAGAATTAATTGGCAATAGTAGCTTATACCTTTTTCAAATCTCCTCAACTAATGGTTCCCCTTTTTTCCCCAGAATTACTTAAGCGGCAGCCCTTTGACCGGCAAGAAGATAGCTCCAGAGCCGCCGAGGCGCCACTGCAGCATACGCAACTCCCGCACGCTGAGCGGAGAGGGAGTGCCGCCGGGATCGGTTGCGCAGGCGCATCAGCAGGCGGCCCAACAGCAGCAGCAGCAGCAGCAGGCGCAGCACATGTTCTATGGCCACACGGGACAACAGCACTGGCAGCAGCAGCAGCAACAGGCGGCGGGAGCGGGGAGCGGTCAGCAGCCCATCTACGCGAACTATGCCACCATTCAGCAGACAACGGCGGAGATACACTGCGAGAAATACCACGACAATAAGTCGACTTCCAGCATCGATTCGATTGACACCATTCCGTTTGCCAACGAGAACACGGGAACGATCAAGCAGCGGCTGCTGAATCGTCAGGAGCTGCAGGGCGGCGGTGGCGGCGGCGGAGTGGGTGCCAACAATGCTCCCGGCGGCGGTGGTGGTCATCCCGCCCACCTGCACTCCTCCAGCTCGAGCTCCAGCTCCTCCTCCACGAACACCATTGCGAACATAGCGCACTCGTTCCACTCGCTGAAATCTTCCAGTTCGCTGCACGATGCCAGCTTGGCGCGCAGCGAAAGCATGGGCAGCACGGCCAGCGGTGGAAGTGCCCTGCACCTGCGCTCACCCACACTGGACCCGCTGTCCAATGCCGGAGGATCGTCGTCGGCGGTTGAGCCCATTAGTTCGCCGGAGTCGGCTGTGCCAGCTGTGGCCTTGAATAGCACCGGCGTTCCGCCCAAAGTTTCGGTGAACGTTCTCAACGACATTGGCAACATGCTGGCCAATCTCACCGACGAACTGGACGCCATGCTGGAGGAGGAGAAGCGGGTGGGCCTCAACATCGACAGTGAATAAAATCTCCAATCAAACAAACAACAACAAATCGTAGTGTAGCTGAATTTTCCGGTAGAACTTGTGGTGTATCTTGTAATGTTTTATGTACTTCGACTTAGCTAAGTTCAACTTGTTTTTGTATTTTATTATTATTTCAACGCGTGCGACGAAGCCTTTGTTTTTAAGTTCTGTTCTTTATCGTTTGGATTATACATATACACATTGTGTAGTAAAAAGTAAACTAAAATTGAAAAGCTTTCGACGAGCCATGTATACTTTTGTACTTTTCCTAAACTCTCTCGTCCCATTCCCAAACAAAATATGAGTGTTAACAATACAAAAAGGAAAATATCCAAGTAAACGATAAAAGGGAAATGAAGCGCAACAGCATATATGCATACATTGCATAGTTATTATATAGCATAAAATATATATAATTCTATATATAAATAAATATTTAAACGAAAACATTTATATGGACAAGTATTTAGTGGTTTGATACTAAACGGCAGAGAAAGGAAAGAAACGAACCACACACAATTAAAACCAGACAAGAACTACTATTTAGAGATCCCCTTCAGACAATTTCAAATTGCATTTACCTATAATTTTTCCATTATTTCTATTTACAATTTTTTTGAATCAGCCTGCACAGACATTTTTCTGTTTGTTATGATGATTACAACTGAAATCAAACTATATGAAATGAATGTATAATTAAGTGTTATTCCATACAAAGTAAAAGATGCATTATATAAAATATAAATCTTATATTAGCGTTATATTAAGCAAAAACGATGAGAGAGAGAGGAGAGCGAATACATCTTAATAAATTATGTTTAAACGGGCATTGATGCTGATTAACGTATAGAACTCCGTGGTATACACATGAATTGCCTTCTTCTTTATAATTTACTTAAATAAAAATCGTTTAGTGAAAATTTTGATTTCGAGAGCATTTTTGGTTCCCTGTTAATTGCGCTCAGTTGAAAATTTGTTTGGTGCGCATATCATTAGAGGAAATTGAGTATTCGATTTATAAACGCATATAAGGAAACCTAAAAGAATTAAATACGAATCAAATCACAAACATGTAAAGCACATAAAGGGCAAAACAAAAATGAAGAAAACCAATAACAAATAAAGTAAAAATTTCATAGTAAGTGTTTTGAATTTCGGAAATCTTTTCTGCTAGCATTGACGGGCTTAAACTACATAAAAACTTATAAAATAACCACCGCTTAAAAAGGGATCTTTGATATTTTTAGAAATGTATGGTTTCAATCTTTTAACAATCCCTTGAAAACCACCAAAGGCTTATTGAGCTTTTTGCAAGTTCACAGGATATTAAATACGAAGCTTTAAAATAAAATAAAACTAAAGTGATTCAAAAAATTCCCATAGCCACTTCTAATATGATGGATGATTTTTAACGGGCGTCGATTTTACTTTAGTTCACTTGCAGGCGTTTAGATATAGTTTAGCCAAGATTGGAATCCGATAAATATGCGAACCACTTGATAGATTGTCTCACACGCTGTTTGAACACCCAGATAGCCCGGCTTCTTGAGATAATATATTGCTTGTCTGGTAATTGTCACAGACAAATGTTGACACCACGGCTGTTCTGATAAGTCTGCAATTATCTGTAATTGATAGTGCCTGCGGTGGGAATAGAAAACGAAAGCCCCAAAAGACCCAAGCGAATCGTAGGTGCCAAATAAGTTTCCCGGTCGGATCTCTTTGATTGCTCAACGCTAATGCCAAAGCAAACAAATCGCAAGTCTTTCTTTTAAAGCTCTTTTTAATGCCAAATTCTTTGTTTAGTTTGCAATATCAAAGAATTTTTAACCGCTTAGGACACCACGTAGGTGAAAGCAAAGCCGGCTTCATTCTGCCTGTAGATGTCATCGCTGTTGAACAGAACCATCAACGGGCCGGGATTGTTGCCTGAAAAGTATTTAAATATTTAAGTAATTTTCCGTATTTGCATAATTTAAATAATAGGTTATTATAATAAAATTATTTTTAGATTGTTTAAAACAAAAATGATTAAAATTATTGCTTCTGCAATGACCTAAAATATTAGCAAGTGAACGAATGAAACAAATAATGGCCTTTTAAGTGCTCATAAATAAATATTAGTAAATAATTGTTAAATAAATAAATTACATCAAATTGTTAAGACTCAAAATCTACCAACTGATTTTCCCAGAGGAAAAAGAAAATTTGTTTGCTAGTGTTAACCGAGCTTTCCCGCCCGGAAAAGCTCTGTGAAACTTACTCGAAATGACCACATCCTTCTTGATGGAGCCACAGAAGTAGGTGGCGTGCTTGTGGCTATCTTCGAAGGTGGCCTGTGGCACCATCAGGAAATCGGCATCCAGATCATTAGTGCTATCGCTGCTATAGCAGTTCTCATCGGTCGTCAAGGTGGAGGAGGAAACCACGTCTCCCACGTTGAAGTCATAGGCGCGAATGCTGTATGGATATTAAATATATAGTTATTATAAGAAATGGTTTTGAATTTATAGAATTACTCACGTTAGTTCCTTAGTTCCTGTTTCACGACGGAAGCAGATGGCGTAGTTCATGCGGGATGGGTAAATACCATTTCCATCGTTGTAGTTGAAGGACTTGACTGCTCCCTTGGATTGGGGGAAGTACTGAAGGCAGCCAGGAGGCGCCACAAAGAAGCCATCCTTGATGGTGCTGGCACGACCCTCGATGGTGGGCAAGTTCTCCAGTTCCTCCTCCTCCTGGAGATCCAACGAGCGAACGGAGGCACCTGCAGGGCACTCCAACTGGGTGACGGTGATGTCCCAAGAGGGAGTTGGCAATCCAGTGGCTCCAGCACGATCGGCCAATCCAATAACCAGATCCACCACACTTTCGCCATCGGTGGCATTGAAGGGCACATAGATGTGCTGCCAAACCTCAGTGCCGCACAGCCTCAGTCCATCGACCTCGAAGTAATCCTTAGTGCACTCGGCGTAGGTCAAACCGGAATCTGCGCTTTCCAAAGTTGGTTGGGCCAAAGTCATGGCCCAATCAATTCGCAATTGGCAAACGTACTTGCTGTACGCCTTCAAGTGGTATTCGCACACCCTTGGTGGATTTGCGGGATTAACCAGGTTGATGTTCTTCGAGGAGGTGCTTCCTCCACAAGTTGGCTTCGCCACCGAGGCGGCTTCGATGGCCGAAATCGCCACCAGGAGGAGCAGGGTGCTTGCTATGCAGTTCTTCATCGTTATGAATCGGTAAAGTGGTCAGCCAGCGGCTTTTTATGGCCAGCCGGCAATCTCGACTGTCAACCGTATCGCTTCCAATTGTCCAGGTTTCAGTGTCAACAATAGTGATCGATTGGCTTTATCGCTACGCCGTTCCAAGGGGGCACCTGCAGTCCGACGACAGAATAGCAAACGTTTGGAGCGCTCTATAATTAGTTAATCAATGGGGGACTAATCCAATTGCTTTATCAATGGGGAAATAGGTTTGCTGGGGTCGCTGTACTTTAATACCAAAAATTCGGGGATTATTTGAGAGTCATAAATTATGCTGGCATTTATATAAAGAGAAATTATATAGAGAAAATTAAATTCTTCCGAGCTCTGACTTTATATAAAAATTAAAATTATTATATTTGTAAGCACATCCTTATCAAATTTTATCAGTGCTTGGTAATAAGTTTAGTAAGCTTACAAACATTTTTCTACTCTATTTCTAAGTTATATTTGTTATCTCGGATAAGTACTTAAAACAGTTATTCAGTTTTTATCTAAGTTTATAATTAACCTACATATTATATAGTAAGTGTTAGGAATTCCAATCCAATATTGCGCATTGACTTTTTTAAATAATTGGCATTTATTAATTTCTTATCCCTATCAAATACAAACAAAATAATCCCAATCCCAGCAAAGCCGAGAGATAAGCATTATCTTATAGAAACTCTCATAAATAGAACCCTTTTTGTCAGTTAAATTTGCAAGATAGTGACTCACAAATCAGTGAAATATTTCCCCCAAAAATAGAACTCTTCGCTGCCGCTGCATTTATCGAAGTTGTTTCCCCACTTGGGTTGTGCAATCCTCCTATAATTGGGGTCTTGTCATTTTCACACACCCACCCATATTTGTTTCCTCTTTTCACTTTTTGACATCATCATCACCATCGATCGTCATCTTCGTTTGCGGCGATGATAATGAGATAGCCAGCCAGCCATTCTTCGCGACACCCAAAAAGCGAACAAACATAACCCAGTTTCGATGGATCTAAGATCAGAGTAATGGACACTTCGTCGAGGTTCAATGACTTGATTGATCGGTGATGGGCACACACAGTTAATAGGCGCAACTAGTTCGGTTTGAATATTCATGGCGGTAAGTGACGAACCGAGCTTCTTACCAAATATTGACACGCCGTTGCTTCTAACACGAAAATCTCATCACCGCATCGCCGGCAGCGCCGCTGTATCTTTTGGATTCTTCGGCCCAAGAAGTGCTATAAAAGCGGTGCTACCCCCAAGATCTTCACACAGTCGATGTGAAAGTGCGTGGGTGAATAGAACCCGAAGAAAACCAAACCGAGGATTATGATTGGATATACGCTGCTGCTTCTGGGATTTCTGGCCTTTGCGCAGGCGCAAAAGCTGAACGAAACAAGTGCTGGTGGTGTTGTCCTGCAGGAGCCAGGACTGTGGCGCCAGGGCAGGCGGAGGAGTGTCCTGGCGGACAGTTGTATGACCAACAGTGGCACCACCGGCACCTGCCTCACGCGCTTCAAGTGCATGCGGCAGTCGGGCACCGTCAACGGATATTGCGGCACCTACGGCGTCTGCTGTGAAAGTGAGTCAAAGAAAGTGATAAATGGAACGTCATGGAAAATCTGGGTGGATAAATAAACTATTTTTGCTTCATTCAAAGAATACGAAAATCCTTTAAATCAAATGGGATGACTCTGCTTTAAAAGACGTTAACAAGATTAGTAAACTGTTTTCTTTTGACAAACAACTTAAGCTTACGCTGTTTATGTTGTGAAAGTGATTAAATGAAAGTGATACAGAATATTTAAGATCTTTATTAATGAAATATGGTATAGAAACTATAACCTAAAATAATACCTTAAATTCATAAATTTTAAATTCAAATATTAAAACATTTAAAAGTAAAAATTAACTCTTTAGGATATTTTTGTATCCAATGGTTTTTTAATGAAATTATTTTTTTTTGCATCTTAAACATAGCTTTTATTTTTTATTAAAACCAAAAAATGTGTTTCCTTAGCTAACCTTCAAGTGGGAGCATCGACGCGTCAGAAGAGGACTATTATCAAAAATCCCGGCGTGATTTCCAGTGATTTGAACACCTACACCATCGAGGCTTTTAGCAGCAATGTGCAGCAGTTGCGAATCGATTTCGAGCAGTTCGTGATGACACAGCCCACGGACACCGATGGAGTCCTCGAATGTCAGGATTACTTCGAGGCAGGAGGCTTCAAGTTGTGTGGCGTAAATGATGGCCAACACCTGTATTTGCCCTTCAATGCGGCTGCGGGTGTGGATCAGGTGACCCTGACATTTCTGGTGACCTCCAGGGGAACTGCTCCCACTTGGAGGCTGGTGGTCACCCAATTGGAGGGTCCACCTCCGAACAGCAAGCGGCGATCCAGCACCTCCGCTGGTTTGGGAACCTCCACCAATTCCCTGCAGGATCTTCGCGACATCTTTGCCACTCATCATGCAGATTATGAGCTGTTGGCTCCACCAGGTTGCCAGCAATACTTCACGGAATTAACGGGCACCATTACCAGCTTCAACTACCAGTCTTCAGTGGTCAGCAACTATATGCCCGATTTGAGCTACAATATCTGCATTAAGTCTGCAACTAGCGCCAGCATGATTGAGTGAGTAAAGTAAACATCAAATAAATAAATAATAACTAACAGCATTTTAAATAACTTCAAGGAATTGAAATTAAAACCTGATTTATTGGGTTTGTGATTTGAAGTATTAAAGCAGTACCATCCTCTATATTTTTCACATATATTTATATTTTAATAATGGTTATTCTTGCCCCCTAATAGGTACTCCTTCAGCAAGTTCTCGATGTCGGTGCAGGCTGAAACGGGCGAAGGTTACGACGAGTTCTGCCATGCC